CAGATTAACTTTCATTTACGGCGTGGTTTACCAGCATTACACAGTCATGTTGACTGTCCTGTATGTCTGGCGCCTCGCCGTTCGTGTCCCAATACCTTATTTCCTTCTTCCTTGTCTTTTATTTGAGCTCTTTTTTATTTGTATTCCTGTAGCTGCTATCACCCCCGCAGGCTCCCCTAAAGAGGACAGACCTGCCCGTACAGCGCTCCACTCTGAAATGGATCTCTTGATATATCCGCTCTCTTTTTCATTTCCCAGGAATGCGACCAGGTTCATATTGATGACGTGGCATCGGATGACAACGGACAGGACCTGAGGTAAAGTGCTGCTGCTGTGTTACTGTACTCCGTTCTGACAAGGCTCGTGAACCAGACTTGCCCTCGGGGGTTTTAGTGCACAGGAGGAAGAAAAAAAAAGCAGGGAGATGAGACAAAGAGTTTGTGCATGTCTTTTATTTCCCCGACTTCCACAGCCATATAATATGTCACAGGATTATCCAACGCTTTCATATCTCATCAAAATATCCCTTTATCATTCCCTCTGTCTTCCTCGGTCCAGACGTTTTATTGCTGAAGCACTTTAGGATACTTTTAGGGGTGATTTGAGAAAGAGCCAGACTATACCGAAGTACCTTTTTTTTATATTACACTTGGCCCTTTTCATTCTCAAAGATGTTTTAATATTTATACTGCCCTCGCTGAATGTATAAACAGTACTTCATGGTTTCTTACTGACCAAGCTTTTTTATTCAAAACTCAGTTTCAACGATTTCCAATTTTACAGGGTTTCTTATCCCTGAAATTCTTGTGGTTACACTGGCACACTTCCCTTAATGTGATGAATGGTTTGAGTACTACATTCTATTCATAACCTGAAGCTTGAATCAATTCCTAGAGCTAGAAACGTTATCCATGAATACAGTTGTACCTATAGCTTCCCCCCTGAAACACCAATGATAGTGCTTCGATAAGGTGCTCTGGAGAAAGGCAGTTTGCTTCTTTGTGATCTACAACCTGACGGCTTCCTGTTTTGTGATCCTGCAGCACTTACAACTTTGGGTCGGACGGCTTCCAGAGCCCAGCGGGGGCCGGCTCTCTGTGCCTGGGGTCGGGGGTTCACGGAGGAGTGGACTGGATGAGGAAACTGGCTTTTAGATACCGCAGAGTCAAGGAGATGTACAACACATACAATAATAATGTTGGGGGTAAGCTCCGCTCACATTGTTTTTAACAGTGGACCGGCAAACTGACTATTCAGATTTGTCTTTTTGTAAGAGCAACCACATTTTCAAATATAACATAACATTATGATTATTTTGACAATTTTGTTTTGTTTTAAATAAAAAGAGAATAAAATGTAATATTTAAAATGATTGCCCTTTCTAATATATCAAATTGCAAAAGAAAATATATTATTTTGCTCTGATATCTTTCCGGTTGTATTTGTTTTTACCAATATTTTTATTTATTTATTTTTAATTAAAAGAAAGATAAATATGCATTTTCATCACTATAGATACATATACATTATTAACTGCTGCTCAACACCAGATGGAGTTACATTTAAACATAGCTCAACTTCAGATCACAGAGATTATTCTGGATTATTCTGATTTATTTTTCTTTCCTTTAGCTGGTATCAAGTTATAAAAGCTTCCTATTTAGTCAGAATCATTGTTTTTTCTTTTCTGGTGCATTAACCAAACCTTTAGTCGTGTTGAAGATGATTTGAGTATTTTAACAACAAACAGTAATATGGTTGATTACTGACACCTATTCATTCAATTGCCATAAAATAGCACAAAAAAAGGACACACATTCAATTGTCATTTAGAATTATTAGTCAGAAATTGTTGTTGAATAAAGACCTTTGTGCGCTGCTGATTGTTGTCAAAATAAGGTTTTGTAACCTCTCTGAAATAATTACATTTCTTTACGCGTTAGAGCTGTAAAGGCTCACATCCTCCCTGTTTGGTCTCAAAGACTGACCGTATACTTTTTTCTCCCTGATGGGCAGGTTTGATGGGCAGCCCCAAGCGAGAGGAGTGGTTACAGCTGAGGAGGGAGATGGAGGTGCTGACCGACCTGTGGCTGACTCAAGCTCTCAAAGCTCTGGCTCTCATCAACTCCAGGTCAGTTTGTGCTCACTTACTATTGGCTGATAGCTGTACAGCATTTAGTATTTTTGTGATTTTTCTCCATATCCCTTTAAATGTCATTCAAGGTGTCATAACTAGCGTGTGTGTCCTGTCCTGTCCTGTTCCAGGCCTAACTGTGTGAATGTGTTGGTGACCACCACCCAGCTCATCCCAGCGCTCTCCAAGGTGTTACTGTACGGTCTGGGCTCTGCTTTCCCCATAGAGAACATATACAGTGCCACAAAGACAGGTGAGGGCAATATAGGGGAAATGGGTTTAGGGAGAAAACATTTTTCCTGATAATAGCAATATCCTTCCTCAAATGGGCTATTTTAATGTGTTAACTTTCTTAAAAGGCAAAGAGAGCTGTTTTGAGCGTGTCTCTCAGAGGTTCGGTCGGAGAGCGGTGTATGTGGTGATAGGAGATGGAGCAGAAGAAGAGTCCGTAGCCAAGAAGGTATAACTCAATCTGTTTTTTTACAGCTGTGACTGCTGAAAAACGGCCTCAACTAATCAGTTAACTTTTAAGAGACACTTGGTTTCTGAAGGTTCTGTGTCTGACTCTAACACTCTAACCTTTTAATTTAAATGTCACACTTTTTCTTAAACTTGGCAGGCATTAGGCTTTTGTGCATTTAGGGCCAACATTTTATCCACATGTACTTTGTCACATACTGTAATCCCCCTTCAAAACCACAGTCCATTATTCACATCTGCACTGCATCTGCAGGAGTGCTGCAAGTTGCCTTAAGTCTGCATGTTTTACATTAAACCTAGATATAATAGATTTTAATTTTGTTTTTGTAGAAGAACATGCCGTTCTGGAGGGTTTCCTGTCGGGCCGATCTGGAGGCTCTGAGCCATGCACTGGAGCTGGACTACCTCTAGAGGGCGCAGCCGTCACTCTCCGCTCCTCCACCAGAACCATGAGAAGCTCCTGACCTCCTGAGAGCAGCTAGTGGACGAATCTGCCCCTGAGAGACTGATTCAGAGTCAGTGTTGCTTTTTCAACACGCAGGAGGACAAACTCACTTTAAAGCCAAAGGAACTGTGAGGATTTGGAGCTGCAGTTTATCTATGAGACATCAACATGAGGCCAATGCGCTGGACCGAATAAAAGACCAAAGACAAATAAGGGACCAAAGCTTCATAACTAGCCCCAGGGAACTATGGGTAATACTGCAAATACTTTTTAATAACGTTTTTTTTCTTCTTTTAAATTTGCTTCATCTCAACTTTATGAAAGGTGTCCCACTTTTGTCCACACTATGAAAGTGATGCACTGAATGCAAAACTGTACATCCTGTTTATTGAACTTGTTGGATTGGATTTGTTGTGCCTTTTTTTATTTGTTGTGAGACTAAACCTGTTTTCCACTGACCAATACTGTTACAGAAGAAATTAGAAACAAGACGTAACCCTCCTGTTATCCTCAGATTGACTTTACACCCTTTATCCTTTATAACTACTAAAGTAGTTTAAAACTCAAGACAATGATCATATTCCACATTTTAACCAACATGTAAGTCTCTGGTGCTTTAGGTGTCTTAGTTGACTACCTAAATAATCATTTAAATAAAACATTACCCCAACCTTCCCCCCTACAGACCCCTTTATACATCCAGAATTCCTATTATGTGACTATCGAAAAATATATAAATCACCATAAAATCTCACTGACTGAAATAAAATGTTAAAGTAAGATCTTTTTGATGTTGTTAAAGGACCAATAACTAAATCAGAAGGTAGTTTTTTTTTACATGTAATAGTCATCTCAATATCATCCTACACAATCAACACAAATATGTGTAAAATATTGACATTTTTATATGTTTTATACTACTATAACAGCCTGGGGTGAAATTGACCCCAAGGAACACCGATGCGTACAAAGTGCGTACAGGACATTTAAAAAAGATCTTCATGTTCATTTTATGTTTACCCATTAGTCCTCACTAAATTAGGAAAAGTCATGAAATACTAAGCAAAAGAAATAATGTGAACCATCTTTTTAGATACGTCAAACATTGAATGGGGTCAAATTGACCCCAAGGATAACAGGAGGGTTAAAGGTATATTATAACATGGGATAGATTTTTCCTTCACTATTATTTTAGAATTGTTTAAATTTCATATTTTGTCTAGATAAAAGACACATAATATTCTCTTCATAGGTAGAGGCTATTGGAAATAGTTTGATTTGTATTTTACCATTAATATGTGAGCTATTTATTATTTGTTAAATTCACAACGCAATGAGGTATACACAGTTTGGGAGCTTGGCATAAAAACATCCCCTTTAAAGACCAGAAATGTGCTTATGTAAAAATGTTTTGTCTTGCAGACGCTGTATTATAGGCCGGTGCTTGAATCCTTGCTTTTGATTCTGGGTTGTATATGTTGTCATGTTTTAACTCTCCTTTCCTGTCTTTGTTTCATTTCCTAATAACCTGTTTGTAATATAGATGAACTGGTATGGTTGTGCATGTGCCGATTACACTGCCTGTCAGTTTAGCCATGATTTGTATATAATGCTTTATTGTCGATTTTGTTTTGACAGACAGTTAAATAGATTAATAAAAATAAATTAATTTCATTGTTGGGAAAAGGGAGTCGAGTTTCATTTCATTTCACAAAGTTACAGAATCGGAGGCATTCGACACGAGGGATTAAATAACAGATGAATAAAAGTTGTGAATTACATGTAATCTCAAGAGGTCTGAGAAGCATCTCATTCAGACTGAACTGCAGTGACCTATTTTAGACAAAGATCTCCCCCTTCAGGGCAGAAAGAGAACTGCATACTGAATAAATTGTTTTAATTATTTTATTTATTTTCATACAAATCAAATAACACATTGATTCCAGTTTGTGAAATGTGTTGATTTTCACGGCTTGAACACAAAAATAGCAAAATAAATATCTATAAAAAAATAAATATAATTTACATTCACATTTATACCATACAAAGCAACAGAAAAACATAAAGGTTGACAGTAATCTGAATGTTTCCACTGCAACGGTTCTGGCATCAGTCGGATTACTTTTTACAACATAAATACAGAATTTCAACAATGCTGACAGTAAGTAAGTATAATGTGACACATAAACAAAAAAGGTATACAAAGCAGGATTTAGGCCCTGCTGACAGAGACCATCATGAAGCCTCTGATGGTGGAGTTGATGTTTGAGAGAGCCAGGCTGGCCTGCAGCATCTTTACTCCCACCTTGCTGGGGATGAAGGTGATCCTCTGCTTCACACTTCCTCCTGGACGCAGTGGGAGCATCCTGTAATAAGATCAACAAAAAGTTAACAAAATGTCAAAATACTTCTACCATTCCTTGTTTGCAATAACTGACGCTAACTTGTGACGGCTAAGCTACAATTATACGTTTTAACCATGTAAATGTCTTAACATGTTGTTTATGTCTTCTAATTCAACACTTCCTGTTATCAAGCAGCCTATAATTACACTTCAATGCCAGTCAATAACTATCTGCTGCGTTCCGCACACAACAGTGGAATATTTTGTGGATTACGCCTACCTGAAGATAAACATAAGCAGAACAATTCAAGTGTAACAAGCTCACATTTCTCCAACAAAGACGAACTGTATTGTTATGTACGATAGACAGTGACACTCCTTTATTTAAGCATTCCTCAGTTTTATAATGTTGCAACCACGCATGATATGCACTCAACACGTACAAAAGGGAAAAAATATGAAGGCATGAAATCTTTCTCACCTGAAGTGAACCTTTCCTTGGATCAGCCCGGCCCCGGCTACAGTCAGTACTCCGCTCACCATGTGAGAAAATGGGTTTGTGAAGGTCACTGTAGCAGTCTGCTCTTTGCCAGGCACAATGGATTCTTCATTTGTAATCTGTTGGGGAAGAAATGTGTTAATGAACCCAGATGATTGAAGTAAATGACCCCTTAGATAACACTTAAGTAAACCAATGTCCATATGTATGTACTTTCTACAGCTTTAAAGTAAGTAATATATTGAATAAAATCCTCACACCTAAGAGTTGTTTTTTGCTACTTCACCATCACACCTGAGACGTAAATATTCTGGATTAGATCTGATTTTTAAAGATAAGATGAGTCTCCCTAGGCAGTGGATGTTAAGAAAAATGGCATACAGCTAGTTCTGCATCGATAAAAAAGAAAAGCCAACATGTTTGTAATTTGGCTTAGTTTTGGGGAATTGTTTTCTGACTTTCCAAAAATCATAAACTAATACATGTCGAAAGAGGTGAGAGCTTTTAATGTTATTAGTGAAGTCAAGGGAGAATTGGAAACCCCCAATCTACGTGCCTTGCGTACACTACTCCTTTGTGTAGCATCTATTTTATTGATCTTTTGTATGTCTTTGAGCACCTCAATACCACAAGTATTATTATGATTACATATTTGATATTGCTGGTTGATTTGGTAGTTGTGTTTTTTAGTAAAAAATTCTAATTCATGTTCAAAACATGTTGAATAATTCAAAGTACCTGTATGATGAGCTGAGGGCTGGCGATGTTAAACTCCTCCGAGGCCAGGACCCGCTCCTGACTGTTCGAGTCCTCCAGGACCACAGCCAGGTTGATCAGGTTGTCTCCCACCACGTCCTCATACTGCACCGGGGCGATCTGCTGCTGAATCACCTTGACTGGAAATACCAAGAGCAGAAAGATGTAACCACATACGCCTTTGAGAAATGAAACTGTGAGTCTGTAGTCAAGCGTATAGTGGATGTTTACCTTCCATGGGTCCCAGTTTTACAACACCATGAGTTTCCCAGAAGGTGTCTGAGGGGCTGTTGTTGTATTCTTTGGCCTGGGCGTTGAGATGAATCTTCATCATCTTGGCAACCCTCTGCTTGTTGATGACTTTCACCGTGAAGCAGACAGGCTCCCCGGCAACAGGAGTTTTGTCCAGGCTCAGGACCACCAACACTCCCCTGGACGAGCCTGAGAAATAAACATGAAGAAAGCCAGTGTGTGAGATTACATGTGTTCAAAGATGACAAATCTGATTCATGTTTTCAAACTTCTAAATTACCTCTGCGTAACGTTGAGTCCTCTGACATTCTGGAACTTCTCGATGAAATTGTTGAAGTTGGGCCTTTATTGAAAAAATAGATCAAAATTGTGAGTGTTCATGCCTTGGAGTGAACAATGTACCACATCTCTGAATTAACAATTGAGCAAATGAATGAATTTGGATTTTTGATACATACTTTTGATGTATTTGTAGTCTCCTGTGATGTTCTGCAGCCTAGGGAAGCTGATAGCTTTGGTGCAGATGAGGGACCCCACTCTCTCTGTGTCCTTGCTGTAGTTGACCACCTGACCCTCGCTCAGTATGACAGAGTGGACGTCTGCGTTCACCGCGGCGTACACAAAGGGGATGTCATAAATCAGGTCAATCCGCCGATCCTTGACTGCTTTGACTGGAGCTGGGCCGCAGCAGAACACTCCTAGGAAAAAAGAAGGGAAGAAAATACATTTATAGGGATGTTTGTTCAAGGAAACATGTTCAAACAGGACCAAAGAAGTGAGGAGTTTCTCCCAAATGGAAAGCAAGGTTTCACACACACCTTCGCTTCTCTCCTGAGGGGTCGGGTCCAGAACCTGCCAGCCGTCCAGCCCAGAGCCCAGGTCCCTGCGAGTCATCCAGCACTCCACCCACACATGGAAGTTCCTGTAGAAGAAGAGCCAGAATAAGTTATCAGAGAGCATGAATATGTTTATTTTGTGAGAAAATGTAATAAATCTCATCAATGTCATTTGCATATGTCTCATCAAGCCAGTGTGTGTGATGGGGGCTTTGGGGTGTGTTTTGGGGAGTTGTGTGCATTTGGTCGCAATATTACCTTTGCTGACAACTGCTTTTATTTCTATCCTTTTTTTTTTTTTTTTTTTTTTTTTTTTTAAGAAACAAAAGTGCTGGGCTGAACATTGTTGAAACATGTTGGAGTTTTTGAATTATTAGTTTCGAACCCTTACTCACCAATAAAAAAAATGGTTTACTATACAAAGAAAAGATCAATAAAACAAAAAACACATTTGACGTGTGAACAGAATCAATAGTTAAGTCACTACTGACCATATGCTGTCTTTGCTGCGATTCAGCTTCTGCCCCGTTTCGCTGTAGAACTCCTCAATCACCAGGTTGTCATTTGTGTCGTGAGCGGAGTTGAAGTTTGTGACGACACGGGAAGGAATGCCAAGAACTCTCATCACTGAAAGACGTAATAAAAATGACACATAAGTTGACACCCTAATAAAAATATCTGAACACTGCGTGATGGGAACAAATGTATCTGGTGTGCGGCAACACTGATAAGACATCAATCATGACGTCATGTGGTTAATAACTGTTTACTGAAGACCAAAAAATACAGTACAATTAGTTCTTGGCAGACAGTTTGTATATAACTTTTCTCCAGCATCATGAAATAATTACCTGTGCACATGACGGCTGCGAACACCCAGCACTGCCCGTATTTGACTGGTTTGAAACCAGACTCAGCCCACTGCGTCAGGATGTCCCCACTGCCCGTCCACAAGGAGGGGTTCACCCCCTCTTTGAAGTCACCGGCCCATTTCCCTTTCAACACACCGCGGTCATCTTCACTGTTGATCTGAACATAAAAGAGAAGATGATTGTAGTTGCTCCCATCTTTTCATTTCAGTTCGCACACATTGTAAAGCAAGCTGGGGCATCTCACATCTTTAAGAGGAGTCTCTGTGACAGTTTAATCACTATTTTTGATTGAGTGTTGCACTGCAGTAATAACAGTGAGCCTGCATTTCCCAATTCAAGCCATGACATGTTTTAAACCAGCAGAAGAGCGTTGGTACATTAAGTCAATATCAAAACATTGGTGAACAGAACCATGGTGATTTTTGTATATCTTGAAGTTTATATGTTTAGGTTTTGTTAATATGAATCTGTTGGCACTCACCATGGCAGACACGACCCGGCCGATGTAGACGGGGTTCTTTCGGTTCAGGAAGTCCATTCTTTTGTTGGTTTGGTGCTTAGGGCTGACTTGCAGCAGTTTCAGGCAAGCCTCCAGAACACCAGGCTCAAACTGCACAAGAAGAGAGAAATAATTAAAGATTTAGTGATGTTTGGAGTTTATTTATAATAAACAGATTCAGAATTTGCTCTCAAGTGACTAATGCATGATCTGAGGTCAGGTTTAGGACAGGGGATAAATAAAGATCAATATTTAGGTTGGTTTTGTCCCTGTTGACATTTGTGTGCAAAACCAACATTTACTTTTCCCACAATACTTTTCTGTTTTCTGTGATAATCCAAAAAGCATTATTACTATGCGAGTGAAAACAAGCAACACAATATACTACTTATGTTTACTTAATGGAAAACAAAATCTAAGAAACAGATTTAACTCAGCACCTTGATATTTTCTTTTTACATTATTAACAGATATGGTTGTAATACCTGATCAAAGGACCATGGTCTTGAAACAGGGTTCATAGCTGTCCCGATGAACAGCAGCCCTGAGTCGTTCTGGATGTACTCTTCCCTCTGATCCTCAAAAGGAATGTACACAACATCCGCTGCAAGAAAGAAACATGTTATTTAGTACATCCTCAAGTTTTTTAAAAGCACATCACTGTATAATGGCAATTATACTCCAAAGGATGAATAAAGGAAATAAATCAGATTGGTTATTAAAAGAAAATAGAAATGCTAAATGTGTGTAAGTTGGTTAGAGAGAATAGATAGAATGTTATTGTTTTTCCCACTTTCTGAAAGTCAGAAACTAATAAAGTCTTTAGGACAGACCTTGTTTTACATATTTTATATAGTTGACTTATTTCAAACAGCAATATCAGGCTTTCTTGGCTTAACTGTTGAGGGTATTTGGGATCAAATCATGTAATCATGATCCCATAGGCAACAAAGAACTGATTGAAACTTAAAATAAGGCAGGGTAAGGGGTCCCTATTTCCCAAGCTTTATCAGAGGGGAGGCCCACAGTCTCAGACTTTGAAAACCTCTGCAATCTTTTAACCTAGTAGCTACATACACGATAACTATAAGTGATTTTCTGTTTTGGTTTGCATCAATACCACCAAGGCCTTCTGAGCCCGAAAAACGTTGTATGACATGTATAAAAGCTTCTGATAAGTTCACCCACCACGACACCAGGGATTGCAGAGCAGGGTGAATTTGCCGGACGCGCAGCTCTTCTTATTGGCCCCCCGAGTGATGGCACACATCTTGAATGTGTAGCAGCCCACTGAGGCGGAGGCAGGAGAGGAAATGAAGACGGATGGGTTCTGGAGGTCAAGGCTCTCTCGGTCGATGTAGGCTTTCCAACGGGTGTAAGAAACCTTCTTGGAGAAGGTGACTGGCATGGCCACATACATGCGGCCTGCAGGAGAGAAGAGGCAGAGGGGTTTAAAATGGTTGTTCAGACTGCAAACAGCAGCCATTCATCTTATAATGCACTGTAACTTCTATTCCTGTACTTGTTATGTACATTTTATTATCTTTGCTTTTTTTTAAATGCTATTGTATAATGTGTTTCCACTGCACTATTTCTTAATGCTCTTGATGTCTTTCATTTTTGTAAAGCACTTTGAATTGCCTTGTGTTGAAAGGTGCTATATAAATAGACTTGCCTTGCCTTATAAATTAAATAAAAGTGGGACTACCTAGCATGACTTGGATCTTCAGATAGTCTGTCTTGGGGTTGAAGGCTCGGCCCTCCAGCTTCAGGCTGATTCTGATCGGGGCCCCTCTTCGCACCACCAGGACCTCGGAGCTGCTGAAGCCATCGGTCCTGTGTCTCTCCAGGTTTTCAGATATTTCCAGGTTGACATCTTCTATTTTCAAGTCTGCAAAAATAAAGAAATCAGAAGTCAGAAGTCATAGCGCACCAACATTACAAATATCCGAACAAATATGCTACAGTTAAATGTTAAAATGAGCAAAGAGAGAGCTTGCATTTGCCAAGACGAATCTCACCTTCCATTTCTGTGTGTCTTTTTCAGTGCAGTGTGTCAATGCTGTCAGCCTGTAACGCTATATAAACCTTTGCCCCACCCCCTGAAGGCATTTCACATGTGCTACTGAGAAAATAAACTGGTTTTCTCAATTGTTACTAAGGCATGTGTCAACAGACGCCACAAAATAGGACACCCCTCCTTGTTCCCTACTGTATGATACACCTTCACAGTTTCACTTGTGAAGGACATCTTACGTGAGTAATCAGACTCACCCTGTGCAGAAGAAAAGAGGTGATTACGTTAGTGAGTTCGGGCGTAAACTCTCGCACAGTTTTGTAATACAGATGTGAGAGCTGTAGAAGGGATATTAAAGCTAAGATAAGTGGATTGATAACCTAATGGCCATTTCCGGTTAACATCTATTCATACAGCTCACAAACTCTTGTAGTAGTATTATCACAAACCATGTGCTGTCATGTGGGATTAGTCTGGCATCATGCTATCTGCCATTTAAACTTTATGTGACTCCAACTGAAGCTGTTGCAACATGTACTTTGAAAGAAAGAGGTTATTCAGGTGCGTTGCATGAAGGTCGAGTGCTTCCAATGAATCCCAGATCGGCAAACAGTTTTCTGCTGGTTACCTTATTTTATTATTTTTCCAAGGATTTAGCTTTGGTTACAATGCTTCAATCTTTTTTTTTAAAGAGGCCCTATTATGGTGTTGCCCTACCTTAAACGCCTCGATTAGACTCCTTTGTTTACTTCTGCAACTTAGTGATTACGCAACACTCACGCTTTTATTGGCTTGCACTCCAACACATTGTACCTGATAGGCTAAGGGGCGGGACATCTCTTAGCGGTTCAACAATCACAACAGAGCTGGACAGCTAACCAATCAGAGCAGACTGGGCTCTGGTTTCAGACAGAGGGTGAAAAGAGGTGCTGCAGCACAGGCAGTATGAGAACAATAAAGACCTTTTTGAACATTAAAGCTTGTAAACATGTCACAGTGGATACACAAAATACAAATATGAGCAGTTCTTCTCAGACTTTGAGTCTGATTATTTTGTTATTGATTCAAAATGATTCAATAATTAGCATTTGTATTATCATCATGCCTAGATACTGTATTATTCATAGATTGGTTATTTTTAAAAGATTGGTATTTAAATAATTACTGTTGACTGAGTATTTACTATTCTACTGCACACATTCAGAGATCTTTCTTTCAAGCTTTCTGGTGGGATGAAAACTTTTTCTATTTTCAATAGGCACTATTTTGTCAAGTGTGCTGGGGATAATTTATTAGCTAGACCAATAAACCCAAGACATACATTAAAGTATATACTGTATACACGAGTATAGTACTGTAGATATGGCACATAGTGTGGCACTTAATAGGGTAGGATGGCAGGTAGTAGTGGTACAGACAGGGTTTTATTTTCCTTTTTAAATGCAAGCACACACGGCCATGCACAACTAGCTTGTGTTCTTTCTCTCTCTATCTACAAACACACACGCACGCACACACACACGCCTTTCATTCCACAGCCCACAACCTTGACATTGTTGCACGATGAACCTTTGTCTTCTGCCCCAGAAAAGAAGTGTGGGTGTTAAAGTGTTTCCGTTGATGTTAAGACTCGCCTAATAGAGAAAATTGCATTATTGCTTACTCATCCGTTAATAATGATAGGTATGTACAGTACACTGGGAGTGAGGCATTTCTGGAGAATTAATTTTAATTTGAAGTCACGAGAGGTATTGGTGCTCTATCTGTCTATCTATCCGGCACTGCAAAACACATTTTAAAGACAATATTTAAAGAAATGTAACACTTATTTTTGGTTACAGCCTGCACGATACAAAATGGTACATTTGTTATGGTTGTGAGACAATCGGTCGAAGAACTTTATAAAACTTTGAACACTTTTGAACATTGAATCCTAATGACTTCTCTATTCCTCTAAATTCTACAGGTTTTCATGAAATGTAGTACAAATATTCATTCCCCCCTGGTAGTATTGTAATAACTTTGATGCTCCCTTACGTTTAACTCCAACACCATCATCAGGTCAACATTTGTAGTTACCTAATGGTTTTTGACCAAACACCTGCAAAACTGACATTCTGAAGTCATATGGTAGTGTACTGGTGTTAGCATTAAGCTCAAAGCAGCATTGTGCCTGAATACAGATTCACTAACCCACAATCCTGGCTGTTGACTCTTAGTCAGGTGTCAATTTAAGGGTGGAAATAAAGCATTTCTGTTATACATAAGCTTTAAGTCAACACTCAAGTTTCGGTATACATTCAGCTCATCCATCAAAAGTTCCCACAACATCTACTGTAATGTGTATAAATCTTAATGGCAGTTTTGGAGTGTGCATGTGTAATATATCACTTTCTCTCTTTACATAACGAATCATTAGGCGCAATGACTAATGGCTGAGGAAATACTCAGATCTGTTACTCAAGTACTACTTCTGGGACGGGTCTGCTATCGGTTCTGAGAGTAACAACAAAACATGGAGAGGCAGCATTCAGCTAGTATGCCCCGACACTCTGGAACAAACTGCCCAAATCATGCACGTCCGCAGAAACGCTTACCATTTTTAAATCAAGACTAAAAACACATCTCTTTACCGCTGCTTTTAATTGACCTGCTCATATTTATAACTACAGTATGCCTTTTAAACATGTATTGTATACCTGTGGTGTTTATTTGTATTATTGTATTATCTTTGCTTTGTAATGCCTGTTGTAAAATGCCATTATATAATGTGTTCTTACTGTAGTTATTCATAAAAAGTCTTTTAATTTGTTTTGTAAAGCACTTTGAATTGTCGCGTACAGAAAAGTGCTATATAAATAAACTTGCCTTGCCTTGCCTTACAAAGAAAAAGTCATGCCTATGACATTTTACTTCAGTACAGAAGTTTCTCACGAATAAATGGCCTCTTTCAGAGTGTTATATTAGTAGAATAAATTAAGTTAATGTGTAAGCCAGTCAAGGCTGCATCATTCAATAAAAGCTGATCATCTGTTCTAAATGAAACTCTTTAATCTGCAAATAACTGTTTAAGTAAAAATAACTTCCAAATGAAGTGTGGGGATATGAACACATGAATAGTATTTCCTTAAATTTTGTGGAGTAATATCACAAAGGAGCATAAAAAAGTACTTGAAGAACAGAACCTAAGTGAATTGATGCTTAAGCATTTTAAAAGGTTTGATTGAAACAAGATTTAATTCATTCCGTATTAAACATATATAATGATGGCACTCCTTGGGCTTACATAGATCATTATTAATAACTCCAACATGCACATCCCGTATTTCTTGTGCTTGAGCTGCAGGCAGGGGTTTAAAGTTTTCTAGAAGAATCCAGCAGTGTGTCACTTCATTGATATTAACACCCCAGTAACTGAGTCATAGTGCTTCATTACAACACAGAATACTCAGTATTTCAGGTTGTCAATATAACCGGAACACTGCTTTTCAGAAAATAGACTCGTTAAAACTCCATTGTTTAATATCAGTAATAATGTGTGGGTTCAATGGAAGAAGTATCATTTTTTACCAAATCACTTGATACAACATTGTTGGAGACAATTTGCTTTGGGTTGTGCACGGGGTTTGTCTATGTGTGTGTGAACGCGTCATCATCCAATCTGCGCACCTGGGAGCACGGGAGATAATTAACCTATATGTGTGGGCACGGGTGATCAGCTGGGATGAGAGGTTAGAGAGGAAGCCACACGTTTTTCAACCGTGATTGTTTGTGTCTGAGCGTGTGCGTGATCGTTATGTTTTAACCAAGATTTTAGATAGGCCTACGTGAGTCGTAAAAGAACATTTTAACCTTGGAGAAAGAAATAAAGCATTACAAATTACGTCATGGTGGACCTCATCCTTCACCACAACACGCGTTGGAAACTCTGACTGCTAACCTCCATGAGTGGCCTTTTTTGATGTGCGATCGCCGCTACAAACATAATATAACATCTTTGTGTAACAGCAATTTCACAACAGATAAAATGTCAGCCTGTTTTGCATTGAACCTCATTTTGTCTTTTATTCTGAAGCAGTTTAATAAAGTGACACAACCCTATAAATTTAAATCAGACAAAGGTACAATCACACAAAATATCAGCAGAAAAATAATCATGTTGAGTAGATATAGATTTAAGGCAGATTTTGTTAAATAGAAAAGGAATTTTGAGTTATTTGACACACAGGGTATCTTTTTATGTCTAAGTATTCTACAAAAATCCTACAGAACAAACCATTCATCAATAAATTAAAAAGGCAACATTCAATAATATGGAATATTAATAATTATAAAAAATAAGAATGCAAATCATGTGATGTAGAAAGCTGGTCCATACTGAAAAAAAAATGTCTAAGGAGCAATCCTTGGTTTATTATAAACAAGGAAGTCCGTTATGTCGTGCCATACGTTGCTGTCGTGGTAGAGGTAGTTCATGGAGGACTGCAGGGAGGGCTGGAGGGTGTGAGGGTAATATTCAAACAGCCACAACACAACACCCCACACCAGCGTGGCAAAGAGAGGGAAGGGGTCGTGTTTAGGCTGGGGGATGAACCCTTTCTCCACAGCCAGCCGAGACAGGGCGAACAGGATCCTGGACAGCAAGTACATGTTGATCTAGAAAAGAGCAAAAAGTCTTAACGGATTGCACACATTTCCCTGAGCAACTAGATAAATGGTGGTGGATGGTAAATAAATAAAATAGCAAATGTGAGAAGAAAGGTATATTTGATCTACAGCGATTCATACCTGGCTATTGATGTTGTTGTTATTTCCAAACACTAACCAGCCGCCAACACAGGCGGCCAGAAAGGAGTGAGACTGCAAACTCTTCCCCTGGCACTTCTCCTGCAGGGCTTGCAGTCCTTTGTATGTGAACACAAAGTACGCCAGGTTTCGGGAGTGGGTGTACGTGGCCTTCAAAATGGCTCTGAGCTTATCTTTCAAACTATCAGAGGGAAGAGAAATTGCAACATGTTTTTTGCAACGCTGCCAGGGACTCAGAGAAACTGGCCCTTCAGCTGCCTCCCAGAGAAGAGCTCTCTCAACAAGAGAACACTGACACAACCAGGGTCAAAATCACAGCATGTGATTGATAAAGAAATGTAAAGAGTTCCAACATTTATTTATTTAATGCCTCCATTTAATACTTCTATTAAATGCTTGAGCTATGTCCGAGAATAAAGTACCGTTTCTGAATTCAAATATCTAATATTGATTTGCTATTAGTTAAGATGAATTAAATCAGAAAGGATGTAATTATTAAATATTTTATAACTGCTTGAAATATATATATATATATATATATAAAATAATAAGATATAATAATTTAAGTGATCATGAACCATAAGGTCCCCTCTTAATATGTATATATTTGTTTAGATTTAAAATGTTAGATTTAGAATGAGATTCTACATTTTGATATAGTGTTGTAATAGCGCGGTACTTTTTTTCTAAACATTAAATACAGCTCGAATGCTTACCTGCCACTTCTGAATAGGAGTGTCATAACAAGAGCATGAGGAGCTCTGATTTTGGCCCCATATCTGAGAGGAAGAAAATACACACAATAATGTCACTGCTGTGTAGAAACACAACAAGGTCAAATATTATCGTAGTATAGTACTAGTGTAGTTAATAAAACCTGCAGTTAATACTATTTATTAACTTAAGTTACCACACTGGCTCCAGGCAACTAAATCTAGTCACCACTGCTCAACTACAGCTGATACTGTAAGAACGGTGAGCTGGTCTGTGGTAAATAAGTACACCGACGTTATTGTAGCTTAGCTAGTTTGTTATTTAATGTTTTAACTCACACGGCGCCATTTCTGAATCCTTTCAACACGGCCAATGCCGCTTTGTACTTCTCCTGCTGAAGAAGATTATTGACGGTGTACAGAAGAGTTTTTATCAGATCAGGACCTGCCATGACTTTCAACAGAGCCCACCGGACACAAAACAGAGTTGCACACACATTCCAGAGAGATGTGTCACAGTGAAAACTCGCCGAGGTGCACCATTATAACCATGGTTCCTACGCAAATTCAGTTTACTAAAAATATCTCCGCCGTTTTGTGAATTAACAAACTAAACTGTGCTTTAAAGTATATAATGTAGCCTATATATTTTATCTCAACAGTGTACCTTTACTTTCTGTGTTATTAATGTTGGCATAACAGTTTTGTAGTGGTACAAGACATATTACGAGTAAACAGTAGCCTAACTATAGTACAAAAATACTCTGCTTTATGTAACGATATCACATTCAAAATGTTACTTACGTATTATCATTGTATCAGAATATACTGAATGTACTGTACACTTTATGCTGAATGGGCTTTTTCTAAATCACGTGGGTGATGGGCATTACTTTAGACTTTAGAGCTATGACATTTCTCAACATCCTTTTATTTAAAGGTCCCATGTCATGGCCATTTCTACTGATCATAATTCCATTGTTGAGGTATACTAAAATAGATTTATATTGTGCAATTTTCCAAAATCGCATTGGTTTCTGTGACGAAGGTAACTTCGTCACTGTGGACTGACGGCTTCGGGCCTTGTAATATTGCACATGTGGGTTTGCACTTTATGAAACAACTTCCCTTTGCAGAGATAAAGTCACTCAGCACTTTAGTGAACAGTTTGCACTTTATTAGCGTGATTGCACAGTACAGTTTGGCATTGCATATTTGCACATTTTACAGATACTAATTATTGAGGTAGTATTTATTAACTGATTAAACCGTATTGATTGGAATGTCGTCTGGCAGGTGCTGGTCGGGTCCTCGGCTCCGCCTGAAAAGATAGGGGAGTTAGCGAGAGCGCCGAAAGTGTTTATGCTGGTGTAAGAATGACAGCGGTTGAGAGTAATCAGGGTGCAAATAATATGTTGAGGGTGTATAAATCATGACTTTAAGTTGCATTAATTGTACAAGTTACCACTGTGTAAAGTTGACATATCACTCACCCATGTCTGTTGCTGCTGATTGTGTGCACCTGGTGCCCTGTGTTGTCTCCTCCCCCCTCACCTGTGTCTTGTTGATTGATTAGTCTGTGGGTATTTAGGCTCTGGGTGTTTCTCAATCGCGAGTACGCTTGCTTGGTAGCACATGTCTGCCGAGCATCTTGCTTCAGAAGCGAGTCAAGAATACTTCCTGCCATTCGGAAAAGAAAGAGTGGAACAGGCTAGCAAGTGTGCAGGTGTGCGTCATTTGAGAGGCCCCGCCTTACATCTTCCGCCACAGATTTGGGGAAATTGGTCCGTGCGCAAAGCATTGTGGGGATTTTAAGGCCGCGAAGTCTACTCATGTGCACACTCGATATTTCTCCAAACGGAGTACGCCGGGCTCGGTAGATTTCCAAGTATACTGGAGATTGGAACAGTACTTCGGCGGCACTCGATGACGTAGTATGCTTGAAATAGTGGCTCGGAAGCAGCTTTACTCGCGATTGAGAAACACCCTCTGTGTTTCCTGTTTGTGAGGGGTGTGAACGGGTAACAGTCAGATTGAGGCTGTGAATCATGTGCCAATGATTAATAAATGCCCACACCGGGTTATATTTGAACTCTCTGCCTCTGCCTCCTTGCTTGGTCGGGCCACTCAATTGTCAGCTTCACAGTTTCTCATACAGCATCTCTGTATAGTATGTGTATTCACTCTCTGTCCTAAACGGCTTGTTGGAGCTCCTGCCCCCCCCCCCCCTCCCTCCCTATGAGCCCAGTGGCCGTCTGAGAGACAGCGAGACACAGCGAAACCCAGCCCGAACACACACACACACCCGCAGCCTGGCTGGGAGTTTGTGTGTGTGCTCACACACCGACTCATAGCCTCGCCGCGTCCCGCCGTCAGGGAGGAGAAATCGGCGGAGCTGCAGCTGAGAAAAGATTGAGTGTGTGTGTGAGGAGGTCTGCGGATTGGCCCATTTGGACCAATCCACGGACTTAACGTAACGGCTCCACGGCATACCATTTGGGTATGGGCACGTCACTGTACCCAGGAAGAAAAATAGAAATCTCCAACGAGGCGACGTTCTGGGGCAGCATAGACCGGTATTTTCTGTGTTTCATGGTATGCAAAATTGTTATCTGAAAAGTAACTAGGAGACAAAACGTTTTTTGGGGTGTTGCTAGTGGAGTAAAAGTCTAACGTTGCATTTAATAGAAATACTCACGATAAGTAGAAGTAGGCTACTTATTCCATGTACTTAAGCCAATTGCTGTTTTATTACTGCACTTGCTGTGGCTGTTTGTGCACTAAAGCTTCTTCCCACACTTTAACTTTTTTGTTTTTGAGTTTTAGTATTTAAAAAAATATGGAGCCAAAGTAAGGCTATAAGTAGTTTGTTAAAGCTAATTGAGGGTGAACACATATAAAGTAGTCTTGTACTTGAGGTATAGTATTATCAGCAATCTCAAATATCAAAAGTAAAAAAGCATGCAGAATGTCCCCTTGTGTTTAGCATTATTGGAGCTTATTATTACTGTTCCATTTATGTGGTTCAATTATTTTTTATAATTTAAGATGACAATGGTTGTGTGTATTGAGAATAAAAGTTATGTAAAGTGTGTGGGATATTGTAAACAAGTTGGGAAAATGTAGCTGAAATAATAAACACTTCACAATTGTCCTGCAGAAGCCCAGTGTTTAAATCATTTTATTACGGTTGTTTTTTTTCTCAATCAATCCAGTCCATTGTTACATGAAACCCATCTTCCAAATAAATACCATTGACTTCTACTTATCAAAAAAAGTTGGAGCTCAAAAACAGTGATTACACTATCAACATGATTTACAATGCAATCAGTACAACTACAAACACTATTTTGCATATTTCTATAGCCTACATTAAAATGGCTCCATGATCTGGAACAAAGCAGTGATTAAACAGTGAAGTGGTTAATTCAACCAGTATGAAGTGTCAAGGTGCTAAGTTATTCGTTGTTATCTGTTAAAATATTCAATAGTAAACATTTTGAAGGTTTTTCGGCAGTAATCTCATTTCAAATCTGCACACCAGTAGTAGCTTTATAGGTCTATGTGTGTGTATTAATGCAGGATAAAAATCTGAGATAATGTGAAACATAAGAGACTAATAAAAACCAAGTCAGCAGTAACTGGTTTCGAATGAGGGTCAATACACCTGTCAGGTCAGTGAGGGAGCGCTTATACTGTAACAACCAGCATTTTGTGAAATGGCATTCGGCCACATTGTTCATACAAAATGTGTGGATATTTCATTTCATTCGTTACAGCTAACTTCAAGTAAATTTGCTGAAACACAACTTTTAATTAGGATTGTTAAATTATCTGGTGTACACATTGAAATTATACCACGTAATTTACACCACGCTGCTTACACACACACACTACACAGCTTGATACCGGGACAGTTACAAAATATCACTTTACAGATTCAAATTTTGTTCAGATTTTGTATTTAAGATTGAAGTAGCTAAATTGCTACCTTTTTTTGTACCTCACAGTGTTACCCATTAATATAATAAAGGCTAACTAACAACCTAATAGCGCCAACCGATGTGATATATAACAATTTAGGGGATGTTAAAAACTGCACTTTAAGACTTATACCTCAAATGAAGTAAAATGTTTTACAAAAAACTATTAAATAACATCCTTTGGTAGATTGGTTCCAGTCATTTTTCTTAAAGTAATACTAGTCTACCTGAAATAAAAAATAAACTTTAAGCTTGAAGAAAACAGAGCTATTTTTGGAAAAGACATGAATTATTCTAATATACTTCTGTACAAATCTGAATACCTATCACCCTATAAAACTAGGGTCACTTATATTACATTAATCCTAATGGTCCACTTATGCCTGCAACTGTAAGGGGTCCACTGCTTGGGTGAACTAAATGTATTAAGATATTAAACATATTACTACTTTATAAGTATATTTACAAAAACTGCATTAGTCACTGAACACATTAAACAGTTAGGATTCAGTATTTAACATCATTTAACTCTAATAATACTTAAGTCTGGACATCTACCAGAGAATTGGCTACCTTTCAGTGGGAATAATAGGTCATTATTCAACAAATCATTGTTCTCTACACACGCTAAAACTCCCACTTCATTAGTAACAGATTATAATTCAAAATCAAGACTCTTTCAGTCGTCCTGACTGGTAAATAAGCTGATACTATTTACAGCACAGATCATTTTGGGAAGTTTTCTAATCATATCACAACCAAACAAGTTTCACTACGAACACTTGCAATAATGCAAATGTTCTCTATTTTATATTGACAATTCAAATAAGGAGTAAATGTTGAAACTTACCAAACTGTTATAAAATGATCAAACAAATCATTGCTTGGCTCTATTATTGGCATAATTGTTTCCTACAAAACTATTGCACATAAAAATACAACCTCTCTTGAGAACAATCACAACCGGTCTTCCTGCTCACATAACTATGTGCAAACTAGTTCAACTCATTATAAAGTTAAGAAAGCAACCTGTTGAAATAAGAGAAAGTATCATTACAATTAGCTCGATCATATTTGTCAAAGAAAATGCATATGTGCTGCAGGAGTCAGTCAGTTGTTGAAAAAAATCATTCATCCATCCTTTAAACCAAAAAAACAAACAAAAGCTGAGCCTGAAAAAAAACCCAAACCATACATTTGCCTTTGATGTTACTTTTAGATATGTACTTATCTTAAGTAAAAATGCACAAATATGGTTATTTTTCTCCCAAATAATTAATTCTAGTGCATAGACCCGACAAGGCGGCTCTTAAGAAGTTACCACTGCACAGATTCACAGGTGTACGAGCAGAAACTGCACTTGTGCAACGTTCGGCGAGTGCAGACATGACAGGGTGAGGAAGGCGTCTCTCTTGCCTCTCTCGCCTGAAAGTGGGCTGACCAGCTGCAGAAGGGTGGGATCCATCATGTAGGTGAGCAGTGAAACGGAGTGAGAAGGATTCACAGGTCTTTTGTAGGGTAAATGAATGTGTGACGAAATAGTTGTGACTGATACTGTGATAGAAAATAAAGATTTGTACGTCCATCACCAGTTTATAAGCAGCTCCTGGCTGCAGGGAGGTCATGTTAAAAAGTGCTCATGTCTGAAAAGGATATGGCTCCTCCAAGCCAACACTCCTCCATCCCATCCTTTAGCTCCTGCTCATTACTCCTGCCCAAAGCCTTCTGTCTCCTCAATGGCGAACATGAGCTTCTCCTTCATCTGCTCGTAGCTCTTGTAGGGAGGGAGGTCCAGACGATTAAAGCTACAAAACAAAAGAGAAAGAAAACAAATGACTTTCCAGAGAAGAAATTGATTTAATGTTTGATCGCCAACATTTTAACGTTGCATCTCATAACATATAAGTGAAACAAATCCCTAAAATGTACAGATTTTGTCTGAACTGCAGATAAAATAAGTGTATAAAAGTCCCTTTAGTTCAATGTTGTTAATGAAATTCTGACTTTCTTAAGTGAGAAATTATTTATTTTATTTCAATGATTTGATTGCAATTATGTCCCTGCCTCACTAGTATCACATGAGGCTTCATAAGAGCATTGGCTAAGTAAAACCATATCAAACTGTATTATTCACGGTTTAACGACACATTCTCAGACAGTGTTATAAAAATTAAAATGTCAAATTAAAGCCTGACAATGAAAAGGAGCCTGGTTGAATCAGATATGACTAAGAGGGTTTGGTTAAAAAGTGTTAATCCTGCAGTATTTGGACCTCTGGCCACATACCTGAAGCCTGAGTGAGGTTTTCTTAGAAAGTAGAAGAAGAATAACTGGCCTTACCATGTGTGGCTTCGTGGAAGCCAGTTCTCTTTACCCACTTTCTCGATGCAGAACTTTTGAGGGCCGTTGCTTCCTACATTTTTAAACAAGCATACGGAAAATTAAATCAAGAAATAAATTCTGAAGTGAGTATATACAGTGTGTGTGTGTGTGTGTGTGTGTGTGTGTGTGTGTTTACCCATCAGGTCAGCGAAGCCTCCCACAGGAAGGCGACAGGTTCCTGTGACAAACTGCAGCAGCCTCATCCTCTTTTCGTTGTCCATCTCCTTCACAAACTGTCAAAACATCACACTTTAATTCATTTCCACACAAACACGCATATTAAAAAAACAGATAAGGTTCAGGAATAGTTAGAACCTTGTGCAGCAACATTTAGAGGCCAAAAATGACTCCTCTACTATTAAATAATAGTTATATAAAGAGAAAAGAGATTTAACAAATAAAGGATTGCATAAATCATCAAGTTCCCAGGATAAGCAGAAATACAAAATGATAGAAATGTACAATTACAACACGAGGCTTATGTTTTACAAGTTGAGATGCAACACAATCAAATCCACGAATTGTTTGTTAATACAATTCAGATTTATGATGTAGATGTATCTCTGTTATTATAAGTGTTATTATAATTATAATGATAACATATAATTGTCCTAAAGACCCAAGTTTTGTTTTGCTTTATTAGGGAGTTTTGGAAATATTTGGACCAAGTGAAGACTCAATCTTTAAGTCTTAGCAAAAGGGACTTTACAGTAGTTGTGAGTTAAAGGAAAATGAAATCTTGAGACAAACTGAGCTATAATTGTACGGTATAAGTCTCCTAAACTAAAAGTAGATCAAAGTAAGTAAGGAAATGGAATTAGTGTTATGATTTTCGAAACCGTGCAACTGCATGTACTGACCTGCCAGAACCAGAGGATCTGTTTGCTGCTGCGGGCGTAATGTCTGTAGATCGCGTTTCTCTGCCAGTCCACCAGGTCTATCTCCTGCATCCCACACAGCATCACCTACAGGCAAGAAGGAAGCGAGTGTGATGACATCTCAAATGCACATGATTTTACCCAGCAGAATAAACACTTTAAAAGACCAACACTACCCCAAACATAGAACTTTTGGTGTTCAGTAAATGTCGTAGAGTGTGGATTGCAGTACCTCTAACTCCTTGGCATCGAAGTATTGGAGGTACTGCTGGGGCAAAACTTCATTGAAGCCCTCAAAGAATGCCTGAGTCTGCTCCTCCACCCCTCTGGACAGCCTCCACTCTGCCACCAACCTGCGTACAGAAACATGAAGATTAATACAACAAAGTCAAACATACCCAGTGCATGATTATTAATGGCTGCTTGCAAACAAGAAGGTTCAATTTTCTAAGGGTCAAATATCATGGTTGATCAAATAAAAAGCATTATAGCTTATCAGTCAATACAAAATACTTTTGTTGTTATTGCTGCAGCAGATACTAAAGAATTGGTCGCGACCTGCGCAATACATGTGTGATAAAAAATCGATTAAATACGTTTATCTATTTTGATTTAATTGGGCGTATAAATGCTGTCATTTCGCTGCTGTGTACAGTATGTATAATGAAGTTGGTTTATTATTGGCCTTTTCCCCTCTATTACACATTACAGTGAAATAGGAGAACTGTAACACATACAATATTGTCAGATGTTCACTGTAGGAAAGTAAATCAGCAGGGATAAGACTATCAGTGTTGTGTGTAACGTGTGAATGTAAATATGGAAGTTGAAGACGGGTGGCGGAGGAGGGGGTACCTGATGTACTCCTCTTTATTTTCCTCAGTTACTTGGACGTTTCCTCCATCGGGCTTCAGCTCGTGGGTGGTGACCTCGCCCAGGATCTCCTTGTCCACAGAGAAGAACATTTCCAGTCCACACTCCTCTATGTTATTATCCCTGCAGAGCAAAGAGCCATTTTGATCATTAACAACAATTAAATCCACCTACCAGTCGCCGCATTTAAATGAATGCTATATTTTGTTTGTGTAAAAATCTGTCTTTGTAACAATTGCCCTGGGAGGCAGACTGTTTCTTGTCCAGAAGCTGGTTTGGGCTGAGTAATAATCCTGGCCAAAATAGACAAATATCCTTTTGTTCTAACACATCCATTTGACCAATACTCTGCTCACCTCAAAAATAAATGTGGCACGATCTACACATTATACTGGTATAATTCCAAATGTGTTGCAATAAAGAAAATTGGGAAATTAATGAATGTTTTTTATAAATTACATTGTGTGTTCATAAAAAAAAAATCAACTATGACATATCTCCAATATGAAAACAGTTAATGGTACACTGCAGTACGTTTTGATATACATGTTGGCCTGTCCTTCCACTCCTCCTTATCACCACCATATTCCCTTTAGGTCACACATTAGTAACTCTTGTATCCCCAGACCTACTTGATCCAGATGAGTGAGTTGTAAAACTCTGGATCTATGGACTCCAGGTCTTTGAGAGCCAGAGGTTTGTTCAGAATGCGCTTGTAGAAGGGCAGGGAGAATCCTGTGTCGATGAATTTGCCATGGAACAAAGCCTAGAAGGGACCAAAGCAGAACAGTCATGTGATCAAATGTATTAAAACAGCAGCCACATAAAACAGAAAGAGATCTGATATGTAAAACTGTAAACTTGTACGAGGAGACTGACTGTCATAAAATTAAGATAATCGAATATTTGAATTCCTTCCAGAGCAATAAGGCACATTTAAGAGCCAACATGACGGTTGTAAACAACATTGCGCCATCCTCATCATACGTATGTTACCTCACAAACATGATCCATCTTGTTAGCCAAGGTAATTATGTCATTATATTAAGTTCCAATACTGAGTAATTAATTGTGTTGACAAATAGGGCAGGTACCATGGCAATGAAGCGTCCTATGAACTTGAAGTACTTGAGGTGATCAGGGTTGATGTAGGAGGCAGGGTTGATCTGCAGACAGTAGTTGTCCTTGCCGGCATACTCAAACAAACAGTACATGGGGTTCAGCACTTCATGAGAGAGCAAGAAGAACCATTCCCTGAAAATAAAATAAATACATGAGAAACAAACAATTATTTAGTGGTTATACTGGTTGGTTTAAAAAAAAAAAAGAAGCTACGATTGAGGTCGAAACACACCTCCTTATGGCGCGATTGCATAAAAACAAAATGCTGTTGACATTACCTGGCCACACCTCCGTAGTCCAAGCCTTCCTCTCCGGGGAAAATGATCCACAGTCTCCGCCTCAGATCTTGAGGGTGGAAGCTCATTATCTTCAGATGCAGAAAAGAATGTGTTACACACCTCAAACATTAAAAAGCCAATACAGTCAAAAGAACACACGGTACAACAGAGAACTGGATTTCTTTGTTTTAAGTTACCTGTTGAAATGAATCCTCAAACAAGGTTTTCCGGGAGACGTTAATCTTAATGTGCTGAGGCATCGACAATTGCTGAGGCCGGGGAAAAAACACAACATGTAATTACATTTCTGCTTGCTTTTTACAGAAGTTAACATGAATTAAACATGAACTGTGAACTTCAATCTTTGCACATTCAATTACGAAAGACAGTACAAAGGAGAAGCATAAGGATGATAGCAAAACATTTGGTGCAGCACATACCTGACACCAGAACCTGAAGTATAGCACTTTGGCTTTGAAGTCCCTGACATAGGTTATCTGTGGTCCATTCTCACTGTGGAAAAGACCAGAAGAACCATTTTAAATGTCAATTAAACAAGCATATTTAGATACTGCATGCACATTTTGTGAGTTTATTCTCCTGCTGTTTAGGGAGGCTGTGATCATGCTTTTTATCACAATTGTTACGAGGATTATCCAATGTGTTATCACTCATTTAAATGCATTGAACCTGCATTGATACCTATGTTTATGTTCAAATGAAATCAAAATGTATCTGTGTAATATGAAAGGAGTTTGCAATTAGGGATAAATATGTCTACGTACATTAAATGCATCTTAATCTTAAGGCTACAGCTTGTGGACAAGTATCAAGTGTCTGGTTAAAAGGCGAGAGCTTCTCCAGTAATTTGTGTTTTTAACTAAAGCAAGTTAACTGCTAAATGTATAGAAGAACTTACAGTGAGGATTTCCCCGTGCGAGGGTCTATGTAGGTTGTGGTTCGCCTGTTGTGGTCTACAAAGTAGGGAATACCATCCACAGTGAACCGCATCTCCCATCCCTCTGGTAGGGGCTTGTCGTTCAGCAGCCTGAATAATACCAACAAATAAATAAATTGTTAAAAAGATAAAGAAAAACAAAATGTAAATTGCAAGTGAATTTGAAAAATAAAAAATGGCACTTATAAGCCTGACGATTTTTCCTTTGTGAACGCATTAGCAGCTTATTCATGAGTCAGTGTAAGCATCAAACCATCATGTTTGAAACCAAAAATATAGCTTTTACTTATCATAAACGTAATACTTTCTATACCTCCACACCTCCAAGGATGTTTGCATGCATTTTTTCTATCTGCTGGTCACCTTATGACCTAAATAACCCTATAGTTATATTTCGCAGAAAAGATAAAAGTATTTTTTCTTACTCTAAAATTGATTTTAATTCCAATTATTCCTATATATGCCTATGCTTCAATCTAGAAATGCTTGTGCTGAGCAAGTTGCTGACACATAAGCGCCTCCTACAGGCAATAAAAGAAAACTACAGCCAAAGTAAGCAGGATCATTTATAGTCAGTATAAAAATAGGTATCACAGTATCAAGATGCACAGCCGTAGGCCCACACTCACCCCTGGGTCCTGGGGTCCTCCCACTGCGTTGTCCGAGTCGGGTGATGAACAAAATACACTCTGCCATTGGTGTCTGTTCTCTTCTCTGACATAAAAAAATGAAAATGTTTCTTCAGTATGAAATCATTGCTGTGCATTCCCTAGGAACTTGTATTGTGTGTTTTACTACGATAACAGCAACTCCAGCCAAAGTAAATGTGCAATGATAGGTGATATTTACCCCATCCATGTGGCAGAGGTCCAAGCGGGTCAAACTCTTTGTTGGCCGTCGCCGCCAGCTGGTCTTGGAGCTGAGCCAGAGAGAGACACGTTGTTAAAGTCTTAAAAAACATTTAAAAAATGGCCTTTGCCAGTTCCAGAGCCAACCATCGTTAGTATTATACAGAGGAATCAACCTCCAATCTCGTTCAATGTTCAACAGGATAACTACATTAGACTTCAGAAACAGCAATAAGCTGTAAAGAAGTCAAACAGTGTTTCCTTTGCTGGGTAACATTGAGGTGGTAATGCTTTTATTTTATTTTAGTTGTGAGGTCTATTTGAAGCAAACAAAACATTTGTAATAGGTGTGACTTTTGGAGTGCATGCATAGCCAGTTCAATTAAGTAACTTGAAAATGATGGTTTTGGGTTTAGGTTTTGTAGCAAGTAAAAAATGTTGAGAACTTAAACTCTACTGCATATTATGGTACAGTGTATACTGTTCAGTAATAATCCGTTTACACAGATTCATCTTGTGATGGTGCAGTTTCTTTATGCACACCATATATCTCCATTCATTACATTACATTACATGTTACTTGTTAGACGCTTTTATCAAAAGCCCCACAGGAGCAATTTGAGGTGAAGTGTCTTGCCCAGGGACACAACGACATGCTGACTGCAGTGGGGTTTGAACCGATGCTCCCCTGATCCGAACACCAACGCACTAATCCACTGCGCCACAGCCTCCCATTCAACACATAAAGACATTATTTTGTCATGCATATTCCTAAAAACAGGATCTTTTTGACACATCATATCAGACAAACTATTGTTCGAAGCAAAACATTTCTATAGTTCATTAACCATGAATGGACGGGATTCTTAAGTAAATCAAAGCAATGTATGGATGTACCCTTATCCAGAAACTACTACAGTGCCTGCACTCACCCCATAGATGAACCTCTGGTTGAACTGCTGCATGGCTCCCTGCAGCTGGTTTCTCTGGTGCTGCCACTCTTCGTAGTTTCTCACCGACTCCTGCGTGGGCCGCTGCCACGTAGTCGTCCGGGTAATGTGGTCGACATAGTACACCCTACCCATCGGGTCCACCCTGCGCTCCCACCTGCGGAGAAGGGAGAGAGGTTGGATGGTAACATTTGTTAAAGAATATCAAAGAGCACAAGTGTTCTGATTGAATTGTAACCATGTTAGCACTCGTAGTATAGCATATGATCAAGTGTGTTGGTACCCTGAAGGAAGAGGATCAGGCCTTTCCCAGGTTGTCCTTTTCTCGATGTGATCCACAAAGTAGACCCGTCCGTTCTGGTCTGCCCTTTGCTCCCATCTGCAGAGAAAGATGAGTCAGCAAAGACCAAGCATAGGAAACAGATTTTGATAACTGATTCTGTCACTGTCACTGAAAAACACAATTCGTTAAAAAGGCAGAATGAGAACTATTTGTATGTTCTAGACGGTTTGTTAACAAAAGATGTAAGGTTCGCACCTTATCCCTAGCTCAACGACCACAGAAGAGCACCCCCATGACTGCAGTTAAGGTTAGAGTGCTTTCTCACAGTTGAAAACAAGCTATATTTGCTGTGTCCACCAATTTTGTAGCTTGCTAATGGATGAGGTTACGATCTAGCACTTTGTTGCTACGTTTGTATAGAGGTTGACACCCCAACACTTCACAAATAAAGCAGTAATAATAATTAAATACAGGGTATCTGCAGATACTGTTTTAAATTGAAGTTGTCTGAAGTCCTCACCACCAGCTGCTCTTGCAGTAACAAGTAGTGTACTTTTCTTACTGTCCTAATGTGCACAATGTAGTGACTGCTTTTTCGTCTTTTGTTTTCTTTGTTATGTTCTCTGTATTTTATATGTTTGTGTTATGTGTTATGTGTAACGTTGCTGCCTTCTTGGCCAGGTCAGCATTGAAAATGAGATTTTATCTCAATGCTTTTATCTGGTTAAATAAAGGTTAAAAAACAAAACAAATACAGACACCAACACACTTTGAGTTAGTCATAAGTAATGAGAGAGAGAGGTTATTTTTGTATGAGTCTATGTTCTTTTTCACATCATTCACATTCAAACGTCATAAAGAGGCTGCAGTCTAAAATGATATTTGCAGGACCAGGTGAAGTGCCTTGCTCTTTTACCCTTGTGGTAAGGGGCCGTTGTTTATGGGTGTGATTCTGGGAGCTGTTGTGGCCGGAACTGCTGAGGCTGGAGCTGCTGAGGCTGGAGCTGCTGAGGCAGATGTTGCTGGTTTGGGTCCAGCTGCTGTCTGTGAAGTAGCTGCTGCTGTTGCTGCTGTTGCTGCTGTTGCTGCTGTTGCTGCTGTTGCTGCTGTTGATGTTGATGTTGATGTTGCTGCTGCTGAGTCATCCTGCTGATTTAAACAGCCACTAGCTGACGCCTGGGAGGAGCCATCGGAAGCTGGAGCTTCACTCAGCTCGCTTGGGGAGGAACTGCTAGAAGAGGCTGTAGAGAAGAGTGGGAGGATGGCAGAAAAAACATTTAAGTCTGTGAACAGATGTCTATCTCAGACACAGACACTGTTTCTGTACATAAAAGAAAATCAATGCTATTTAAAAATGTAGAATGACTGGTTATATTGATGAGTCTTTGGTTTCTTGTGCTTTTCCTACTTGGTGAGGCTGTAGGTCTGTGAGGCGTAGGAGGAGGGGCTCGGGCTGGTCTGGGAGGACGCAAGGCGTTGGAGCCCCCTGGAGATCGAGAAGGAGACCCTGTACCATTGGCAGGATGACCGTTAGGTACGATAACCCACTCCTCTGAGTCACTGGAGGGAGATGTGTCCCTGCTTGACCTGGGGATCAAGATATGTTCTTAAGTTACTTGATAGGGATACAATTAGTATTTTCTATGAGTAAACACAACATTTTCCCAAAAAGCATAAATAGGATTATAAATGAAAGTTTACTGAACCTGTTGCCAGTGTCTCCATTTTGCCTTGCGTTTCCATTTGGAAGAGCAGCTAGAGTAACAAAGAAACAGATGACAACATATACTCAAATTAACTTGGGATCTATTGAAACCATTTTTTTCTTCCTTATCTGCTGCAAGGGGCTAAGAACGCAAAGGTGGCTACATATTTCACTTTTTTTTAAAAAGTAGAATCGTATTTCTTGGTGCATTCTGGTAAGTAAACTATGTAATGGCCAATTACATAGTTTATATTTGGCATTTCTACATTTTACTCAAAGGCTGACATATACACTGATCTTTATATGTAATAAGCCAAGTTGGTCAATTTAGTAGCCAGGCTCTATAAAAGAACTCTGAGACAATTTTAACTAAATATGATTGTTAAATAAATATGATGAGGAAAAAAAAGGGAACATGTCACACTAACAGATGATTTAATACAATTCTGCAGATCTGTGCATTGTCGGTGGATTTGTGCATGTGTGTGCTTTCTTACCATGTTCTCTCTCTGCAGTGGCGAGGGTCTCTGGGTCTACCTGCATGCCATCCAGACAGACTGACAGGTCGCCAACAACATCCCGAGAGTCTCTGTCAGAGCACAGCTGCAGAGTCTGCACCACCTCACACACTGGGGAGGGGACAGAAACAGTGTTTGACAGGAGATGAAAATGGGCAAAGGTGTCATAATGCTTCAACCAGGGGTCTCCAACCTTTCTTCATCTGAGAGCTACTTTCAAAAAATTAAAGTGGCCAAGAGCTACTTGCATCACATCGCTTACATTTATTCACATAGCCCTCATCAGTTGAATTAAGCTATACTTACGTGTGAAATTGCAATACCTAAAGCTTATCAAAAATAAGGTCCAAGAAAACGAAGATTTCTCACATATTATTATGGCCCACATAATAAGTACATCACTGAACATTCACATAAGTGTCCTTAATCACCACCTTACAAGCATTTCACTCTTTTGTTAGTGAGATGAATGGCACTGCATCCAGTCCACCATAGAGGTGTATGCTGGACCCACTTAGGTTCACTCTAATAGTCATTTAAATGTTCATCAGTCAGTATTGTTCTGTATTTAGATTTCATTCATGTCAGAAAAAGCTGCTTCACAAAGGTATGTAGAACAGAACCAAATAAAGCAGACATTTTCAGTGCTGCTTGGTGAATGTTCTTATAGTTTTCTGGGTCTACAAGGCTCCAGAAATGTTCTGAGTTTTGCTGCGACTTAAGCTGAACATTATTTTGGAGATCTCCACAGGATTGACACTGAACAGTTGTTCAGCCATCTTTTTCTTCTTCGTCTTGACATTAAATTATAAACCATAATAAATTAATTGTATAGGTCTAGCCTCCCTATATCCGTGTGTCAAAATGGTTCCATCCTCAAAAACAAAAAACTAATACTTCTGCAGTCTAGCTGCAGCTTCTAGCTACGGTCTTCTGTTAAAAAAAAGACACTGAATGTCTTGAATGTGGCATCACACACAGGACTTGAGTCTGAACACAGCAGACAACAGGAGTATTTACAATAGCAATTATAAAAACAAAAATAGTGCATGTGGGTGCACACTTACATTCTCTGTCTTACTGTTACATAAATCCCATGAATGTATGAGATTAAGTTAGCTTCATCATATCTCAATCAGTGATTAAGTGAATAATAAAGTTTCTATCGGGTCACTGTCAGCCTGTCACTCATTATTTTCAGGGAGGGGGCGGGGTTTGGAGGAACGGAGAGGAGACGGTGATCGCGGAAGCTTTCCTCCTGCCTTCACAAACTTTACACAAGTATTTATCAACTGAAAATAGCAAGAGGACATTCATACTCTGCAATCCAAGACTTGATTAAATCCACCAAAAACCTGACATGACGATAACGAGTGTTTTTCAAAAAACACAAATCCCTCCCTGTGTGTCTCTGAGGCGCAGCGACAGGGCCTGATTCAGAGCGGGTCATTCTGCTGTTAGTTCTGGACTGGTGTTGGTGGAGAAAGCAGACTGCTCCGTGTGTGTTGTCGCTGTGCTGCTGTCACGTCTGTTCCTTGATCTCTGCGCCACCGACCATTTGATATTCGTGTGACAGAAAACATTCTAAAATAAAAAAACGTTATTGTCCAGCCGCGGCCGAAAAATCAATAAGCAACCTTACTACGCTATAATCGATAATCGAGCGGCGAGCTACTGAAAAGCTGCCCGCGAGCTACCGGTAGCTCGCGATCGACGTGTTGGAGAGCCCTGCTATAGACCCTTCACAACAACAACAAAAGATGTCAGAGGAAGTATAAACTGCCACCAAATGCACATACAAGAGCCATTTTCTCTAAGAGGACTCCATTTGCTGGCTTTTCATAATGGATTCAACGTTTATGAATCGTGTTTAGTATTGAAAATAAACCAGACTTTTATGTCAAATGGAATGCACAAGACAAGGTGAGCCATTGTATTGAGCTGGTAAAGCCCTCCAGCAATCAGACACACACAATTAGTCACACGCTAAGGGGAGGCTTGTATCCCAGGAGAGAGAACCTAGGGAGTACTGTGCTTGTTGGTTGTTAAGCTTATCAAAGCACAATAAATCATTCTCATAACAAAAAGAAGCTGATATGCACTGCTACACAAATAGAGTCTACTGAAAGGGAGATTATAAGGAATACAATGTTTTATTATCCTAAAATAAATAAGCCATGTGATGGGATCTTTGTTCTGACTAACTCATAATATTATGTGGGAATCAACCGCAAGACCCTAGAAATATTAGCCAAGTACTCTGCCCCTTGGATAACACATTTTTTCCAAGATCAAAGTTTAACTGACAAATAAACTGAGATGTACACTTTGTCAAATAGCAGCAAAACGTTGTTTGTTTGACAAAAAATATTTTCAAGAAAACACAAGATTACACCACCAAAGAGAAAGAAAGTAGTGTGAACTCACGTTTCAGGTCGTTAGCTTTAAGGCTCTCTTTGATCTCCAGCATGGCCATTCCCAACAGGATGTCTGCCTTCAGTGTCTGGTGGCTCCAAACTCGAAAGATCAGCTTGCTGACCGGGGTGACAATTCTGTAGTAAAGTGAGAAAATAACATAATCAACACTGGAGAAAAATATAAAGAAGGATCTGCATTAATACTAAAGTAGTTATACTTTAACTATGGAAAAAAAAATGTATGTACTGTATAGGGCTATCGCTTCTCTGGAGACATCTGTTTTATTTCTGTTATCAAATGTAATTTAATTCAAATATTAAGTGTCAATTCCTGCATTTGTTTTTGACATCAATATCTTCGAATAATTTGCTTGTGGTGGAAAAAATAAACAGATTTTGATATGGGTTCAATCTATGATTTTGAGAACAGTGTTGTTGTTATTATTAATGCTGCAGAGTTTTATTAATAAAACACCCCTCATGTGTTTTATTTGTCTTACCAGTTGAGACCTTAACCTATTTCAGTGGCACAGAAACCATGGTAAAGTAATAAGTGTTGGGCATATGGACTTTGTTGAATCAGTGACAATTAAAAATCAGGTACATCATATTTATTTATTTACCCTTCAAGAACTTAGTTTTCCCTTATGGACACAATATTCCAAGCTCAGAAAGTTTGCACCATAACCAGAACTGCTAGTAAGTATCATCTAATAACTTATCAGCTTTTTTCTATGACAAACACAAAGGTTATACTCACACTGTGACAGCCTGCTTCCATTTAGGACTGTGTGTGTTGTTGCACTTCTCAGTCCTCTTTGACTGGCCATCCACAGCTACCTCAACGTAAGGGCTGGGACCAAACCAGGTCTTTTTGTTTTCCTTAAGCTTGGCTGAAAGCACTAGAATGAAAAAAACCACTTAAATTGTAGGTTGTATAACTAAGATTTTAGAGGGTTTGTTCAGAATGTAACATAAGGTGCATTTGATGAAGATGCAACAACATAAAAATACCAACCACCAGCTCCTGTAGCCTCCCTGTACTGAACAGTGACAGCACATAAGGCATTTTTTCACAAAGAATCATAGCCTGTAGCTGCTTATGAACAACGTCATGCAATACTAAACCTCTACCAATTTTTCCTATTTGTTGTTTCCTAATTTTTGCTCAAATCATGCATAGATTAATGAAAACTTACCAGTGACTTGTAATTGGGCCTTCATGGTTCTTCCATAACACTGCAGTCTTGTTTTGCTGCACCAAGGGACCTGCAAAAACTGCAACCAGCGACATCAGACATGAATATGTGATACTGTGCAGTCTTACAGAGTGATCAGGCTATTATGTTGCTACAGTAGGTGAAACGTCAAGTCAGGCTTTACATACAATATGAAGTATGGATTTATGAGGATGTATAACCAAAGCAAAAGGTTTGTATGATGGTTTCAGACTTAGTTTAATCTAAGCTATTTGAAGATACAGCCGTGCACCTTTCATAACGGGCAGTCCCATCTTTAACTGCTATATTAAGTCTCACTGAACCTCCGTTTGCTAATCTTAGACAATACCCTTAAACAGGAAGAAGGTGGTTTGAATATTATTCAAAGGGGTTGGTTAATACAATTTCAAAAGCATAATAGACTTGATGTTGTCAAAGAGGGTTCGTGGTCCTGCTGTCCGTACTGAAGCATCATAGCTTTATCTGTCAGGTTAGCAGGGGGTTAGCCAGCAGGAGATCTGTTGTCAAGGCAACTTCTAGCCGTTTGTATTGTAACAGTTTTGACTATTACATTGCTAACATGTAGTATTTGCTATAATGTTAAGGTTTTTGGTGAATAAATTAGAGAAACGGATTAGTTTCACCACCTGGGGCAACTTTGTTAGCCGACGTCCTGAACACCGAGGCTAAAGCTAACCGTTCATTAACTAACGTTAGTTATGCTAACTCACTCCGCCTCCCCGAGCAGCTAAGATAATTACATCGAGGACATTTAACACCTTTCTGTCATTCAATCAAGTAATAGATAAACATACCTGACGAAAATGAGATGATAAAGGGCTCAGCACACTTTAGTTCCAGCTATGCCTGGGTTGTTGACAGGTTGCTGCCTGCCATCAGCCCTGTGTTCCGCTAGCCAGAACAAGACTTGTGTTTCCGGCGGGAGTTTTTCACAATAAAAGGGTATCTTTAGAGCACACACATATTGATCTCTTTTTTGCAAACAACAAAACTCAAACTTAACATTACTATAGCTATATGCAGCCATGCATTCTGCAGAATTTAACGAGGGGAGTAATACTTGCCCTGGAAATAGATTGACAAAACGTTTCTAAACATAAAAGTCCACTTACTAGCTTTTTTAGTGGAGCTTCCAACACATTCACAAGGTCTTATTCAGTGAATGGAGTTTACTCTTTTTTTATGGAGATGGATCATTCTTAGTTGACAGACTCATAGATCTGACTCCAAACTTCAGTATATAAAGTATAGTAATCAATCAATATGATGTGTCACATACTATCATAAAAGGTACACTTCCCTTGAGATGTAATCCCAAAATTCCCTTCAATGTGTGCACTATTGCATTATATTCATAAGGGTTTATCCAAAGATTCTATGTTAAATAAAACACTTTTCATGACCACTGTATTCGCTCATACACTCATAATGACAAAAGACTGCCTTAAAAATGTGTCAAACTACATTTATCTCAATTGAATATTTTATTTTGTCCTAAGGATAAGGATTGTGTTATGATATTCTGTTACATTGAACAATTTAGTTCCACATATTCGATTGCATTTAGTAGTAGTAGTAGTAGTAGTAGTAGTAGTAGTAGTAGTAGTAGTAGTAGTAGTAGTAGTAGTAGTAGTAGTAGTAGTAGTAGTAGTAGTAGTAGTAGTAGTAGTAGTAGTAGTAGCGGCAGTAGCAGCAGTAGCATTAGATTTATTATGTAAAGTAGTTGTGTGTTTAATTATTACAACTTTTATTTTGAAGGCTGAAATGCAATGACGTCAAAACTGATGTTGAAATTAATGCAAAACAAATATTCATAAATCCATTATATGCTTTTAAACTGTGTATTATCTTTCAATGCATCATCTGTTGCAATTCCTTCCATGTGTGTCGCATTAATAATGAACACAAACAATAATATTCGATTAACTACAATCATGAAAAGCCATTTGTTTGGGCACGCCCACTCCTGTAGTTCTCGCGCTTGGTCTCGTGATAGCGGTCAGCTGATAGCAGCTCCAACATCTCTGTTTAGGAAAACCATGTTATTTAGCTAGTTAAAAGAAAGAAAGACATTTGCACTTAATCTCAACGAAGACGGAAGATGTTGTCTCGTCTGCTGAAGGAGCACCAGGCGAAGCAAAATGAGCGGAAGGAGCAGCAGGGTGAGTGACTGGCTAACGTTAGCTGTCGTGCTAACATATGCTAAAAACAAAGCTGACGGAGTTGTGTCAGAAGGCCTCGTATGTCTTTAATATTACTGATGGTTTCTCTTGTCTTTGTTAATGTTTTGTTTGCACAGAAAGACGCAGGCGTGAAGCTATCGCTGCGGCCACCTGTCTGACAGAAGCCCTGGTAGACCATCTCAATGTTGGGTATGAAATCCTAGCTTCTAGCCCCCTGCAGTTTCTCCTTTTACTTCCTGGGGATTAGCAAACTCCTATTGTTAGTTCATAGTTGATGGTAGTAAATAAATAATAAACGTACGTCTTGTGCCTACTGGAAGTAGTAAGTGCCACAGTGTAGGAATACTCTGTCACAAGGACATCATTTACTTAATTAATGTATTAAATCATCAAATGTATATCAAAAGTTAAAGTACTCTTTATGCAGAAAGGCCCATTTCAGACATTGCATACAATTGTGAATTCATTAATGTGAAAATCTAGTAGCCAGTAAAGGTGATGATACTTATGTAGCTTGTGAATGTTCCTCTGGTGGGTACAAGTATAACAAAGCAGTCTAAGGAAATACTAAAGTCAAGAATCTCAAAATTGTATACTGATTTTTCCTTTCTACTTGATATTTTCTACGTCCACACAGCAGCGTTAAAAAAATCTTGGAGGTGGGCGTATCTGAAGCTTGGGGATTTTTTGCGAGCAAGGCACCAACAACCAATCACATGAATCTCCCGCCCGCGACATACGAAGCTAAAAAGTTTGAAGTAAACTGGATATAAACTCCCCAAACAGGCAAAAACATACCACTGTCTCTGCCACCTCCCTCCATGCCTGGCTCCTCCGGTTTATATCCCGGTAGGTAAATAGGGACTGGTCATAAAGCACCGGGTGATTCCCTACCGCTAATTTCTCCTCCATTTTTTGGAATATGAGGAAATGACCTGCGGTATGTCTCTCCCAGCATACACGCGGTTTGATTGGCTAGCGCTTGAACTGTCAGATTTGCATACACGGGATTTGATTGGCTGACGCTTCCACCTCAGCTTCAAAAGTTGAACATTGCTCAACTTTGAATCCTGAAAATCCTGAAAATCTCCGCTCGCCTGCCCACAATGCAGTTCGGCGAAAAGTGAGGCAAAGTGACGTCACCCCATTCAAAGTGAATGGGCAGAAGCGTTTCAAGATTTTTTTAACGCTGCTGTGTGGACGGTCCGAACAGCTAGTCATTAGTCTGAAAGCCATAGATATTCAAGTCAAAAAAAGAATTTACAGATGAGTCAGTAAATCCTCAGTTTTTAAAGGATAAACAACAAATGTTTAGCCTGTTTGCTCGATAAACATATCAAGAAATGTAATTGATGTCGATTATTTTAATGTTGGCACCACAGTATTTTGTCCGGTAACAGGAATGCTTACTGTACTCCTCGTGATAAAAAACGCATTTTCAACTTGAAAGTGAATTATTTATAATGGTAGTTTTGAAAGGTGTTATAAAAAATAAAGTTTCGATTTTGTTACTAAATATGTGCTACTTCTGAAAATGTGACTTATCTAAACGTGCGTCCTTCTTGAAGTCACAGGTAAATACATTTGAAGTACTGTGGTACATATTGCAGTCAAGCTGATCAACCAACACCTTCAATTGAGCCATTCAAATAAAGCAATCTATAATTAGCTGAGCAGAATTGGCTTTGTGTGACACAACTACAAATTAAGATTGTTAACATTGTGAAAGTTGTGAAGAAACCCGGACAATCAGCTTAAAAACTGACTGGTATGCAAAGAACATTGTTATGCTGCTCTTTTATAAAAAAGATTATAACTAAAATCCTTTGGTGACTTTATAAGATTCAGTCTAGTTTGAATATTACAGTATGTTTATATAATAACAGAGATGTTTATGACTTAGTCTTTGTACTATCAAATACAAATGCCCCCATAGCTATATTAATACATGATGCTTTATTTTCATGTTCTAGTAGCAATGTAGAGCTTCTTATTGTTGTTTTCTGTTTTCTAGAGTTGCCCAGGCTTATGTAAACCAGCGTAAGCTCGACCATGAGGTGAAGACTCTCCAGGTGCAGGCGAGCCAGTTCTCCAAACAAACGGCTCAGTGGATCAGTATGGTGGAGGGTTTCAATCAGGCCCTTAAGGTAGGACACACTTGGCAAGAAATTCATCCAAAAACGTCTATATGTAATCTACCACTATTAAAACAGTATCATTTTTGTATAAATGTACATTTCTTAAGTCTACTGCTGTAAAATCAATAAATGCTCTTACTTTTTATTACTTTTTGCTAAGTTGGCATATCATATATCTAATAGCAGCTCTTGCAATCAGTATCACATTCATTTAAGTTACATTTTTGACTTATGAGTATTGGTTAATGCATATTCAATCATATCTACTATTATAATCATCTTTGCACCTCAAATACATTTGAAAAAATGTACTCATCAAATCCAGGGCTGCAACTAACAATTATTAATTAATCAATGTATCGCTTGATCTATACAATTTCAGGAAACAGTGAGAAAGGCCCATCCCACTTTCTCAAACTCCAACGATTAACTTAAATATTTATACCCTTTATATGTTCAGTCCAAAAGGATATTGAGTTTAATACTGTATGTTATTAAACTGAAAAGCATAACATTTCCTTATTTAAGAGGCTGAAAACTGCATTTACTGCCATTTCTTAATTTGACTTACTAATCATTCGTCCAAATAGTTTATTCTTCAATCATCTAATTGATCAGTTGACTAATAGAGGCGTTTCCAATCAAAACTAAAAGCAGATTAGTTTCTTCAAAGGACCTCGACACAGGCCATAGATCTGAGCGGATTGGACAGATGGTAAAAGCAATTCATAAATGAGTTTCCACTTCCTCTGATGTTATCCAGTTACACCATCTTTCCAGGGGAGACATGGTGAACAGGTGCCTGAAGTTGTTTCAAGCCTGCCTGTTTCTTCTGGATGTACACAGCGGTGATACTAATTCTGTTTCCGTTCTCTCTTTTGAACAGGAAATTGGGGATGTGGAGAATTGGGCCCGCAGTATAGAGATGGACATGAGGACCATCGCCACAGCTCTGGAGTACGTTCACAAGGGTCAGCTTCAGTCTGCCTTCTCATAAACTTCATGGGGGGACATTTATAGCTGCAACTAAACACGCTGGAGTGAAACTGAAAACCCAACTGACTCCTTCCAGCAAAGATGCAAGCAGCGATGACTTCGCTCGATGCATGCTCACCGGAATGGGCCCACGCTGATGATGACTTTGCCACCTGTCTGCTTGTCTGTAATATCTTTAACTGGAAGGCTTATCTTCAGCACCTGTTAACTTAATTATGTACGTCTATGCTTTTGTAATATAGTATGTCTATGTATGATAACATCACTTTTTGTCAGACAACTTAACTTTGACTTAAGTTACCGTTCAGAGGATGACTATTATTTGTAATAAAGTAATAAAATGCACTGGTGTGTTTTCTTATGAATCCATTTAAAATATATCCACCACTAAAGTGAATTTATACATACAAAGTAATATGGGAATACTACATGAATACAAAGCATAAAGAACCTCATTTGAAAAGGGATATTCGAGCTGCCTTAACATGGATCCGATTGTGAGGATGTTCATACCCACAAACGGTGGTAGTGGTCAGTAAACTATTGAAAGTTAACTAGAGTTAACTAACTAGACTGACTTCTGGGTCAAGGATTGGAGTTTGTCTATGGTTTAAAATCAGAAGACTTAAAGCCAAATGACAAAGTACAGCAACAACATTTGGCATACAAAGTTTTACAATTTGTAGACAACGTTCTGCAAGAAAACTACTGGTAAAGATAATTGGACAAATGTTGCATGCAATGTGTCACTATGAAATTACGCATGGGGCTGTGGAGTTCAGTCATGTAATTTCAGGCGTTTGGTAACCAAAAGTACTTTCAACTCACTGCGCATTAGGGTTAGGGTCAAAATATAGATGCGAACACACTTTTCCATCACATGGCAACAAATTGTGCTTGTTTTTAGTGTAAAAAAAAGTAATTGTGAAAAAATCTCCTTAAACTATATAAACCAACATTTGACAAACTGGTCAAGTTATGTTATAGTTGTTAATGGAGTGTGAGATTGTGTATCAATTGGTCATACACATTCACAATACTCCATCACACTTTTTCTTTTTGTTCAAGGTTTTGTGATTTGCCACAATATAACATACAGTGCAAAGGCACCAAGTACAGTGCATACATTGTTCGATGTAATAGGGCAGTGAAGTGAATCAGCCAATTACGTTTTACACGTGTTTTTGTGTGTGCAAAGCTGGTGCAAAGGCTTTAAAATGTGGGATTATTCCAGGTTTTATTTAACACTCTTAAAACATAAAGTACTTACACCGTATACCCCGGGAACCACTAAAAACGGGCATTAGTTATTTTAAAGAAGAGAAGTGGGACTAGCTAAAAAAAGAAATAAGTTCTTTGATATCCAAGTTCACATTGTGTACAGAAAGTTCTCTCTGTAGTCTGTAATTCCCACAACCTTTTTTTTTGTACTTAAATACACACACACACGCACAAACCAAGTTGTTATGGATTGGGGATTACCAATTGCGGACTTGTCTTAAGGGATAAACCAAAGGGATAAAGTCCCTCTGTGACCAGCCTCTCTGAGTTAAGACAGAAGAATAACCTGAAAGGGAAAGGGAAGCGGACGGATAACTCGTGGAGATCCATCACTTCTAAAAGAGGGAAAAGGTAGGAAGTTTATTATAATTATTAATTATTTTACCATTGAATTTGTAATTCAAGTACTTTCTGAGTTGCTCTGATACATTTGTTCTACTGATTATACTCTGTAATGTTGGTAATGATCACAATTTCCTGTGCGAGTATATCACTGTGTCATTTAGTTAATTAATCAATTACTTTACATGTATAAAGGCTAACAGCATAATTGAGGTTGGGTAGATTTACCGGATTAAATGTAGCTGACATACTGTATATGAATATTTGAAGTATTCTGGTATATTGTGGCTATATATTAACGAGTGTTGTGAAACTAAATGCAACCTTCCTTAACCTGATTTGTAATTTTACAGGGTCAATTATGATTTAATAAATGTTCTCATGCCAACAGAAACAGTATAGTTAATTTATATATTTTTTTAAACTACAGCAAATTTGGAAATTATGGATAACACAACGCACAGAAGTATCGTTTTTCCTTTTTTTCTTTTCTAATAAGCCAGAAAACTAATTGGTTTTCAGCAATGAGCAGCTTAAGCAGCTTCGTCACGGGCATTACATTTATGCCTCAAAACAATGTACCCCTCCCTCCTCGGGTCCCCCTCCCTCACAAATGCCTTCTTTCTTCCATAAGAGTATTATCCAAAGATTTCTCATGTGCCCAGAGCAGTTCTGTATCGCAAGCCCCTCTTCTAAGGCCCTGTGTGAACAAATCCCTTGTATCCCATCGTTTCAAAAAAGGTTCGATAAACCCAAAATATTATGAAATCGAGTAGGGATTTGGTTTTGAGAAATCCTGAAATAAGTAGGTGTATCTGCCTTCCATTCCACTCCTGAAAGCTTGGATGTCAAAACCTATTATTTATGAGTTTTCAGCAAGGTTACCAAAAATCCTCCTCTTATCCTGGAATCAGCATGGACATGCAGTTTGTCTACGACCTTTTAGGGTAAGAATTACTAATGTTACGCTACATTTTTGGCAGCTGTAGCCAAACCTTATAACCTCAGAGCTTACCCATCTAAACAATATTTTCTCAAAGTTAAATCCATTCCTCTCTTTTCTGTTGTTCTCTTCCAGGGAAAATGCTTGGTCGTACATCGGTGCTACCTTCGTGGTTTTGTGGTTTATCGTGTGGCTGTACAGAGACAGCCTGGAGATCGAGGAACTTACAGACAAGTATGTGTTTGTGACCGGCTGCGACTCTGGGTTTGGTAACCTGCTGTGTAAGAAGCTCGATCGTAGAGGTTTCCACGTGTTGGCCGGCTGCCTCACAGAAAAGGGAGCTGATGACCTGAAGAGGGCGACGGGGCCTTATTTGAAGACTGTCCTGCTAGATGTGGCCAGTCAGGACAGCATCGAAAAAGCCATGGAGTGGACCAAGAAGGAGGTTGGGGATAAGGGTAAGAGCTGATGCTGCATTAAAGAAATACATGACCTGGGTTAGTGACATTTCACAAGGTAGATCTGTAACCAAAATATGTTCTTCCACCTTTTATCTCCTTTTTTGTAGGACTTTGGGGAATTGTCAACAATGCCGGACGCGCGTTACCCATGGGTCCTACAGAGTGGATGAGAGTGGAGGATTTCCACAGCACATTGAATGTCAACATGAATGGAACGATTGCCATGACGGTGACCTTCCTGCCCCTCATCAAAAAGGCTCGGGGCCGCATTGTAAACATAGCATCGGTTCTGGGTAGGGTGGCTGCAAACGGTGGTGGATACAGCATCTCCAAATTTGCAGTGGAGTGTTTCTCTGACTGCCTCAGGTAAGCCTTACACAACCTCATCGAATAAAAGCACACCCTGGCACGTTATTAAACCAAAAGAAACTATGTTGTGCCATTACGTCTTTATTGTTATCGACTGAGAGAAACACAAACTCCCCACAAATCCTCAATATTCCCTTTTTCTGTCACTTTCACAAAGACCTGTATTGTAATCATAATAAAATACTAGTTCGAGCCGTAATCTTCATATTGTCATTGTTCCATGGGGGAGATTTGGTTTTCAGACAGTGTTTTTATGAAACATTTTCTATTAAATAAAAGACAAGTAATAACAGATTTGATCAGCAATAAAGCACAATCCCTCTAACAGATTACACACAAAACAAAATTGCCTCAGCATATGCCAGACAGACAAGTATTGGCTCATGAGACCAGACAAGATTACTGCGTTTATCTACCAGATTTACTATTGTGTTTTCATTTCTTACACTCAAGCTGCTAAGCCTATTTTTTAAATAAAAACTTTACTGCCGAAGGGGTCGTGGATCCAATACTTGAAACACTCAGGACTTCAGAATATAACACAATAAATGTGTAACACAGACTGGTAATTGAAGCTAAAATGTATTGTTGTACAACAGAGAGACAATGCTTCCATCAAGTGCCAAGAGTATGGATCTGTAGGAAGAAAGATTTTCACAGGCTTTATACACTCTTCCAGCCAATGTGGCACTGTACATTTCACATTAATAATCACATGTCATGTTTAAGCAAACGTTTTTCACAATAAACAAATGATTCACTTAACAATAACGCATCCAAATAAGGATTATTTCATCCGTTTAATGATTACTTCTTTAGAGATTGAATGTTCGATGGTATTCTATGTGACATTTCTGTTTTCAGGAGAGATATAAACTACTTTGGAATCAATGTGTGCATCATTGAGCCAGGATTTTTCAAGACTGCGGTGACGAGCCTGGACCCCCTGGAGAGGGAGCTGCACCGCCTGTGGAACCAGCTCACCCCTGAAGTCCAAGCCAGCTATGGAGACAAGTACCTTGATAAATGTAAGAAAAGACTGGTTATCTGTATTCACACTCATCATGCAAACCATGAGGGAGCATCACTATGAGGTTCACTGGAAATCTGACATGCAAAAATATGTATCTATTTTATGGGTTAAATAAAATACATCATTTTAACAATCTCTATCCAAAATCACACTGAAATTGGATTATTTACGAATTTCCCTTAAATGCGTCAACTTTTTAGTAATGGCTGCCATATTTCCATATTAAAAGCACATTGAATTGATTTCATAAACACAAGCTGCTTTGGTGTGCCTGAAGGCAACACAAACATTCCATTAAATATGTCATATACCCTTTAAAGAAATGTATACAGTACAGTGCAGTGTATAAGCACTAATCTCACTGAATATGAAATACATGCATTTTGAGGTGAAGCAAAGAAAAGTGCACTTCAGTCATGTTTTATGCACAAATTATCTTTTCATTTTTAGACATCAAGGTCCAGCGTTTTATCATGAATGCAGTCTGCGACACTGACCTCTCCAAGGTGACCGGTTGCATGGAGCACGCTCTGACGGCGGCCTACCCTCGCACCAGGTACAGCCCGGGCTGGGACGCCAAGCTACTGTGGATCCCCCTCTCCTACATGCCCAGCTGTGTGGTCGACATCGGGCTGAGGCTGGTGCTGCCCCGCCCGTCAAAGAGCGTGTAAATTATGATGCCTTGGAAGAAACTTGTTCAAAGTTATCAGCCTTTATATGTCATTGTATGTCAATTTAATGCAATGCAGAGGTTGATATCAATTAATTAACATCTTGCCTTTCAAAATACCCATATTCCTTATCTACATTGTCCATGCAATACTCTATTGCTGTTATTAATTTATATGTGCATAATCTGCCATGTAAAGGTTTTTCTCCTGATGTTTCCTTAAGACATTTAGACAAGAGATAAAAGAATGAAACTGTAATGTATATTTCACTGTTTAATTCATTTTCTTTGTAAAGTCTATGCTGTGCCTTTTGAAGCTGTTATTTATGTTCCTTGATATGAATGCTGTTAAACATCAGAGACTAAATTCAACAGGATTTTATTATCAATTAACTCTCTGAATGCTAAGATCTGTTTAACTTGGACACAAATAAAATAAATGGCAAAAAGCTTTATGATTTACACACACCAATGTGCAGTCACATCACGATGCTTTCTGAATAGCCTTGTTGAATGTATATGTATCAATGCACATATGCTAGCATATAACTGTTTGTTATTTTCATTCTTGTAATTGTTGTTGCTCCACTCTGGGTGGACAAACACTCTATCGCCCTGAGGCTTGAATGCTTTTAATAAATTCAAAATCTAAAAGTACATTTTAAATCAACATGTGGTATACTGTGGTGTTATTACATCACTGATTGTGTTGCTAGTAAGTGTTTTCTGGTCACTAGTATCTCATATTCTCTAAGCAGTATACTATTAAGTGTTTGTCGCTGGAAAAAAAGTAAACTTTCACTTCTATTCATCTTTATAACGTGCTTCTTGCACACAGTTCTTAAGGCTATCAGTTGAGTTAGGTATCAGTTGGAGGAATGTCCTAAACAGGTTCAGCTGTTGGTGAACGTAAGAGGCTTGTTTGAGACGAGCTGCGGCTCGCCTCGAAAGTAGACGAGAATAGCCGATCGCAGCCGGGGGAGGTCTCAAAAAGCTCGCCTGAAGTCGGACAGCTCAGAGTCGGAGTCGGAGTCGGAGTCGGAGTCGGAGTCGGAGTCGGAGTCGGAGTCGTCGGAGTCTTCTTCTTCTTCTTCTTCTTCTTCTTCTTCTTCTTCTTCTTCTTCTCTCGGTTTTTTGGCGGATTTCAAACAACTTTAAGGTGCATACTGCCACCTCCGGAGTCGGCTTGACTCGGTTTGCATTTATAAATGCACACGGCATCTATTGCACGTCTGTCCGTCCTGGGAGAGGGATCCCTCCTCTGTTGCTCTCCCTGAGGTTTCTCCCATTTCCCCTTTAAACTGTGGGTTTTTCTCTGGAAGTGTTTCCTTGTATGATGTGAAACGTAAGGACAGAGGGTGTCATATTGTCATACTGATATTCTGTACAAACTGTGAAGTCCACTGAGACAAATGTAACATTTGTGATATTGGGCTATATAAATAAACATTGATTGATTGATTGATTGATAAAGAATGGACAAATGTGTTTAATCGTTAATGTCAGATATGTACTAAGTAAATACATTTGTTCCTGCTCAAGATTAGATTCAACTTTATTGTTATTGCACAGATTACAGGTAGCCTACTGAGACAACGAAATGCAGTTTAGCTTCTAACCAGGAGTGCATAAAGCAGTAAAGTGAAAAGTAATGTACACAATAAAATATAGAATGAATTGAATGATGAAAAAACAGTGAGGGGTATGAATACACTATATACACAGTAGCCTAGCCTAGTATGAACAGTGTGTTGTATGAATATGCTAAGATATATAAAGTATGACAACGGTAAGCAGTGCAAGTATAGTATAAAATATATAGATATTAATGTCATGATGATAAACATTGTGGAACAATGATGAAAAATGTGAATGGAAGTGGCGACGTAAAACTGACACAAAACAACAACACACTTTTGCCGAGCCAATGGAGAGTTTCATCTCCAGCACGGGGTAAAACCCACCAATGAGCGCTCAGCTCGAGATACCAGCGAGTCGTTTCCCATCAAGCATTTCGCTTCCGCAGCCCGGGGAGAGAAACTGCGCCGCCTCGCCGCGCCTCGCTCTCAAGTCTGCGGGCGTCTTTGTCCCGCGAGATTTCAACGTCTCATGTAGGCGAGCCTCCAGAGCAAGTCGGACAAAATGACTAACCATCATGCAACGCACGAGCAAGACGTTGATCGCAATTGCGCAGGTCTGCGCAGGTCTCGCTTGTCTCAAACAAGCCTAATAATAAAGTGAGAGGCCTGTTGGCTGACCATGGTTGCGTTCGAATACTCCAAAAAAACAGCTCCTAAGTTCTAACCCTAGCGTCTATTCCTTGACCTCGGAGTGAAACGTCATGGGGTTAAGGGATAGTGGATAGGAGAATTCAAAAGGATTTAGGAGAAGAGACTGCGGCACTTTAGAGAATCCGACTGCACTTTCACTATCCGACGTGTTTATGATGCGCCAGCAGAGGTCATAAATGTGCGCCTGCTGCTGTGGGGAAACTATGGAAACTACAATTTTCTATACAGCGGACTACAACATGGATGTTTAATAAGAACGAGGGACTACTGTAAACTCATCTAGAGACTCTGCACCGTGCTCTGATGCTGTTGTTTTATGCTTTATGAACGGGGACAACAGAGAAACATATTCTTCATGACCAAAGTTGGAATTGAAATAAAAAAGGAAAGTGAAACTTATGCTCGTCACCCTCTCCCTCCGGTCCACATTAATACAAATGATCCCAATACATATGATTGTATGAAAAGATCTTAAAATCAATACAAATGTATTTATTATAAACGTTAGTCCTTAACATCTATCACTGTGTATATCACCATTCAAACATCTTTTAAAAGTTGAACAAACCCCACACAGCTCAGTAAAGACTGTGAAATGTTGACTTTATTTGATCATTTCAGTAAAAACTAACGTTCATATTTCTCTTTTTGATTATAATACTGATGAACGTTCAAAACAAAGCACTTTGGCAACTTACCACATACGTTTTAAAATGCTTAATAAGCACCGTAACTTTCATGATATCATTTCTCGTTCATAATCGGTTGTTTCCGTGAACGGCCGACTGTTGTGTGACGGCAAATGCTGCGGCCGCAAGGCATTGTGGGGCAGCATTTTCTCCTCTCCTTTCGGTTAGGGAGGTCCAGTGGTTCCTAGGCTAAAGGAGGTTATAAAGGAAGTTTGAAACCTCCTTTCCTTTTAATTTAGAGAATTCGAACGGCACTTATCATGGCTGCCACTGAGGGACTTCCGGGTCATTTCACTCCGTTAGGAAGGTTCCTAAGCTAAATGGACTATTCGAATGCAACCCATGTGTCGTTGCACAACAGGTCAAAGGCTTTCTTTCACTGGAATGCCTGAATATAGTAGTTAGGGACTGGTTTTAGGTCATTTCATGAAACCAACTGTACTAACTACAGCTTTCTTGGGAAAATTATAAAAGAAAAAAAAGTGTTACTACTTTCTACTTTAATATTGTAGACTATTGTATTCCTGATACTCAATTACGTGGTCACACATAACTTGTATCCTGACTGACACCCATAACGTTTTAGCAGTCCTCTGCTCGCGATACACATTTCTAGCCCCTGATTGGCTACTGACAGCTACTGTCAGTCAACTCAAATGACAGCCACCACATGAGGTAGCGTGCCTGAATTTAGGCACGAAATAGACCATCTGCTGCATTCAAGTGCCGTTCGTAAACGAAAAAGTGCTCTCCTAACTTTATGGAGTATGTTTGGACCATAGACTGTATGGTTTGGACACTAATGACGAATGTGTGTAGTATTAAGTGTTATGATTATTACGTGTTGCAGAGATATTTCATGTATATTCAAGTGCATAAATGTGCTGAATATAAGGCATATCATTAATCCTAAAGTCCTTAAGTAAGTTAAAGTCATGCAATAACAATTCGAATTAAAAGTACAAGTATTTGAATAATACCACTGGAAATATACTCCCAACATTTTTTATATTATTCAATGAAGATTATTTATTCATTGGTATCACTTTAATGTGGTTACGGGCAAAATTGTTTATGTTTTTGATATAGGCCTATGCCTTCTATAAATAGACTACGAGTTAGCGTACCTTAAGACAACAGTATGTCTTGTTATTTTTATCAACCTGCAAAGAAAGTTATGAGAAAAGTTACTCAATACAAGTTGAATTGTATTAAGTAAAGTACTTGAGCTAAAGTTACTTTCCCCCGCTGCATTTAATACACGCCGTGGCCTATCGTAAAAAAGAAAGAGTTCAGGAGTCGAAAGATTACAATTCCCTACGACACCTGAAGGCAGCAGAACTTCTGTCTGTCAGTGACCTCGCAGGAGCCGCGCAGGATAGCAGCTCTCCACTGAACCAAGCAGCGGTGTTTGCTGTGATCTTCCCCGTAAATCAGGCTGTCAGAGTGGCTTTGTGAGCAGCCATGCTCTGCCTGAGAGCCCTGCGTCTGTCCAACTCTGTCCAGCAGATCGCCAAACAGTCAGACGCTGCGAGGAAGCTCTTCATCCTCCAGCCAGCATGCTGTCTGACCACAAAAACAACAACATCGTCCCAGCGACCAACGCCGACACACTTGGACCATTTCCAACTAAAAATGTAAGTGTCTCAGCTCGGTGTCATCACAGGAGTGGCTGCTGCTGGGCAATCTTACAGGCTTAGCCACATTGTAATATGAGTTGTAACTGGGCCTCTTATTATATTTTTCTATATGAAGATAAATATATTTATAGTAGGCTAACTGCTACTCAGGTGTTCATATAGACAGTGTCAGTTATCAGCATGTGGCAGCTATAAATGATGCAATCAGCAATTTGATGTTGGAGTTTCAAAACTTTCACTGTCCAAAAAAATCCCAAACAAAACCATGTCATAATAACTTATCTGAACATGTATGTAAAGTGTATATTGCTTCTTGTGTAGGCCATATTAGCGGTTTAAAGGTGGGGTAGGTACATTTGAGAAACCGGCTCGAGATCGCTAGAATTTGAAAATACACAACCGGAGAAAATCTGCCACTTACAGAGCCCCTCCTCCAACACACACGAACGC